TATATGACCCGTTAACAGCCATGGTTGGGGATCCGCTATATGATGCCTCTTTTTCAACTGCACAATCGCCATCTGTAGATGATTCCGTTTTTGTAAATTCTGTGAAGTTAACAAAGGAACTCGATCCATCGTACTTTATCTGCAGATAAATAATTCCCGATGGGTAGCCGGTTTCTCCTGAACATTTGATATCAGGATAAAGAGCAAGTCCGGTAGCAACACGAGTTGCTGGAGTTAACGTTGGGTTGGTTTTCGGTGTATCTGGGGGGAAACATTAAAACATGTATTTGATCAAATCACTTTTAAACTACATTTCAATGATCATTGTTCCAGACACATTTTAATATAGAAATATTGGTTAAAGTTTCTGGCAAAACCTTCACACTTTAAGTCTTTATGGAAAGTATGCATCGTAACAAATGTATTCAATGACGTTATGCTGCATAGGAAGCGACAATCAAGTCTCGGTCGGTATAATAGTTTCCAATTAACAGTGACTGTATAATGCATTTTCAGACTTTACAGTATTTGTGATACTCCTCAATGTACTGACTCGTATAATATATTCAGAAGCACTTTTTTGGTTTTGTCAACATTTAAATGCGAATCTATACAGCATAACGTTACACAGTCGAGTCACTTGACGCTATGTTTAAAACCGGCTGCAACTAGAACACTGACAGGTCAGTGAGGGCCCCGTCTTGTGGCAATATATCCCCCATAATCATCAAGAAGCAATCTGCCCATATAGCTGAGCTTGACGTTTGATATTTGGACTTTAAACAGAATCGCAAGGAAGCAAAATATACATTTTACGTATACTATGATGTGAGTCTTGTTTCCTTCCACCTCCATATTTGCTGGGCTAACAGAAATGTAAATACTGGTGCAATACTCATTTGTTAGCTTTGATTTGTTTTATTTCACCTTATATACCTCCTCTATCAAGAGCCAGGGTCAAAGTCAGAGATCCACTTTGTCTTTGACCTTTGGACCCAAATGACCTTGACCATTAACCCAGTGACCCTGATCTTTGGTCAGTTGACCTATTCTTTGATTCCCATCAAATTTGCTTCTTAATATCATAACAAAATGTTCATCAGTGAAAAATACAAAACTTGACCTTGACCCTTTGGACCCCGTANCTTGACCTTTGGTCAATTGATTCCTTGTTTAATTCTGAGCTACATTGCTTCAAAGTGTCATAGCGAAATGTTCACCAGTGAAAAGATACAAAAAATAACCTTGACCTTTGACTCAATGACCTTGACCTTTGGTCAGTTGACTCCTTGTTTAATTCTGATCAACTTTGCTTCATCATGTCATAACAAAATGTTCATCAATGAAAAGATGCAAAATTTGACCTTGACCTTTGAATCTAATTACCTTGACCTTTGACCTCGACTTTTTACCTCAATGTGTATTTTTGTGAACTGAACATCTTGACCAAGTTTCATGTACATCGGTCAATAAATACCAAAGTTATCAGCCAGGAACAACATTTGTGGATGATTACTATAGGGCACCCGTATCTCCGATACGGGGCCCTAATTAACAATCTTGAGATAAAATGCGTTTTAACGAAGTAACAGTTCAATCAAAATTCAAGTAATTATTAATAACCTTCTTTCTATAGGGTTATATATGAAAAGAAATACAGCCTGTGGTTTCAACATTTTAATATTAACCCCGAAAGGAAGCAGGTTTGCAGAACTTTTTCATATATTTGAAACCAACTTGTACCATACGCTTGCTGATGTAAATTGGTCGTATTTATAACGTCAAACATCGAATCCATTTCATTTGAGACTGTTTTAAGGGTGCAATATTAACCATGATGCAACATGGCTTTGATTTATGGAATTACGAAAATTGAAACCAGAATCCCATATGTATTTGAAACTATATTGGAAAGTTAATAAACCGGGTAATAAATTAGATAATAAACTGCCAGCAGACTCTGTTATGAGATTGACGTATCATATGCATTCAAGTGGCTTATGAAACATTACAACTGCACTGTTTGGCAAAAAAACTCAAGAATTAATATGCTACCGAAAGTAATTGACAATTAAGACATTGTGCTTGACAAACATATTATGCCCAGCGCAATTCAACTTAATATACTTTTCAAAATATTCATATTACCTCTAACGCTGACTGACGCAGTTGTAGATGAGTCCCCGGAAACCGTAAACACATTAAAATGAAAAACACCCTCATCACTACAGGCCAACGATGTTAAAGTAATGGTGATGGTTTTTTCCAGCATTGAAGACTGTCACAATCCTGTTTGCACCGCTGTTGTCGTTGACCATACCGTTGGTAGGGTGAATAACGACAACATGGCTTGACGTCTGGGTTTTGCTCGGGGTGAATGTCACATTGATATAACTGTACGTGTCTTTGTTGACACTACACATTACAGTTGCCGATGAGCCAATCAAACTGTTTGCACCACTGCATGTTGCGACTGCAACACAAAAATATATATCTTATAATTGGTTGTAAAACGGGATTTAATAAGGATGTTGACCTGTTTAAATAAGAGAAAGGTTTATTAATTTATTCCAAACTGGTTTTGTTTCATATATTTGATTACAATGTATGTTTATACTGTGCCATTAAAAACCAATAATAAACCTGATGGTGAAAAAAATATGAACAATTAAATTAAATTTAAAAACAATTACAACGAAACGGTTATTTTTCAAAATAAACCATACTTATGAATATACTGCCGTTATTTTTTAGAGTTTAACGTATATATTCGGTATAAACTAAATGGATCTGGTACCTCAAACTCCAAATTATCATCAAATGTATTTCAAGAAATCAGTTATTCGAAAGTGTCTCAGATTATAGTGTTCTATAGTTAATCCGCAAGTATACAGTATTTAATGCAAATTCTTTACGAATTGAAATTAAGTCTTTTTGTTATCAGATTCGCCAAGAAGATCAGGGACAAGTAAGATCAGACGACTTTCTACCTATTCTTAGCGGCTCTGGTAAATCAGTTCACTCAGCATATGCCATCTTTCAGAGGACCATGTCGAAGATTAGCCTTTACCTAAACATGTCTTTTATCCTCAATGAATAAGGTTTATTATTATTATTATTGAGCATCAATCTATAGTGCCTACAGTAAATCAGCACGTCAACTAGATACACAATGATGAAAATATTATTTGAAATAATGTATTGTTGTTATTAAATCACCTTTAATACCACACACTAAAAGAGTGCACTGCTCTTGGTGCTTTTCTTCAAATATAATTTAGAAATCTAACCAAATAGGCCGTTGAGTACCACTTACGACTTGAACGATGATAAACAATTAACTTGTAAGTAAACTCTTATAGTGTAATAGGAATATATGGATTAACCTCATATCACTATAAGGTAGCCGTTCAAAATCACAAAATTAAAATAAATTTATGATATAAAATGCCGAGCAAATATAAAGCGCTTTGAGAATAGTCTCTGATATCTTTCTATTTAAAACGCATCAAAGTTTAAATTAATTAATTAATTCACGTTCAGTGAAACAACAAAAAATGAATCGATCTTTCCAATTTCGAAAAGCCTGATAAAACTTACAAAGTTATTATAAGACGTTTGTAGCATGTAGTACTATGATCAGTTAGTTGTGTTTTGTAGAAAGTAGTCAGTAATATCATCATATACTCAGAACAGAAGCTTTTATGTATACTTTTGCTAAGTTGATTAAAATGCTTTGCTACTCACTGATTCAGTATTTTTAAAGCTACAATTCCGAGTAAATCTAGGTGTAATTCGTAAGTAACTTAATCCGCTGTAAACGACAGATTTAACAAGAAAAACAGCGGAATCAAGGAATACCTATGCTTTTTTCACAATATTGTCATAATAGAAGAAGCCATGTACCTTTCTATTTTAATTTGTATGTCGCATGAACTGTATTTTTGTTAAATTACTTACATACATCTGGTGGTGGCGTTGTTGTAGCTTGTGTGGTAGTAGTAGCTATAACAGAAAACATGTATGTTAGATATGAGGAGAAAGAGCTCTTTTCAAATTTATGACTAAATGATCAAATTGACCAGATACATTTTTAAGGTAAATACACCCTGTATTTATAGTCGGCGTTACGCAGCGATGGCAATGTTTACATAATCTCACTTGCTTAGTATTTGCTATTCCATATTTTATCTCATTGACTGGTAACTGCTTGTTGTGTTGAATGACAAGCGACTATTATAACCATCATTTAAATAGTATCGCTGTGTTAGAGAATTGTATACCTTGTGGGACCTATATGAAATTATAATGGAGGTGAAATATATAAATATGATCAACAAATATAACCTGAGTGTAAAATATTCTGCAGGGCCAGGGGTTATTCGAACCCTGACCGTCATAATGTTATACAATCGCTGAAACCGATTGAGCTACAACAGAAGTGTACGAGCCCAAATGTGCTACAATGTGTACGTTATATCCGAAAGAAAGTTAAGGGGAGGTAACTGTTTATTAGAAAAATGCTAGTGCAGCGATCCTTAATAGCTAAACTTAGATCACAAAATATCATCAGAAATATTTTATTTTACTGTTAGCACAAAAAGAGAAAACAAATAATTTGATTCATGTGATATATACCGGACGATTATGCATTAATTATGGTATAAAATGGAGTATTCTCAAAAACCTGGACAATTTTCCAGAAGCAGCGATGCCTAACACCTTGAGTTAGCGTTATGATTTAAGATGGTATGACATATTTTCATACCCAGCTGACTAGATTATATCAAGTTTCATTCAATCATATATAAAAGTTACTAAAGTCGGATTCGTTGTAAGATTTTTAACCAATCAGATCCCCGGATTTACTTCATTGAACATTGGAATAACGAGAACCTTATATTCTGTAAAGCGTTTAATTATTCCTGGTTTAAACCACCTTGGGATTTTTTGCAGAACAATTATCCTTATTGTGGTCCTATCTGAGTGTATTCCTAAGTTCTCCATACAAGTGCCCTGCAGTGGCCCCAAGTACCCGGCGAAAACAGACATAGTCTTTCACAAAATGTTCTCGGTAAGTTAAAACATCTAGGCTAATGTCAGTCGAACAATGCATCGAAAGCTGGCAGGCACGGACCCCAAACAAACGTGTATTCGTGTGTTGGTTTACCGTACGTTGTTAAATAAACACATGATGACACAATCACCTAGTGAGTTATTCAAGAGGCACCGTTTCTATTACTTTTGCTTTGGGTATCTCGCTTTCTATTAAACAAGCTTGCTCGAAACCGCTCAAACGTATATGTATGGGAGATAGTTAAGTGTATTATACCATACGATGTTACAGTATTCAAGAATAGTCTGCGTAAAGCAAAATTGTTTTTTGCGAAATATTCTGAATATTATCTTTAGTTCAAAATAGTTTTGTGTAGAATGTTAAATGTTTTTGATTTTGTACAAATCTTTTGCTATATCTTTTTTTCATTGACTTGAATTTGTACCCGATGCTGATGGTCGATGTATGTGTTTGGTTATGGCTCACATATATACTTGGATGAACTCGTTTGTACTTCTATCGACTTAATTTGCTACTTATCTATGATTTGTTGTGTTCATTTTTAACAGTTATTCCCTCGATAGATAATAAAGCAATATCGTGGTACGTAATGTATTGCAAAGCAATATCTTGGTACATAAAAGATAGTGAATCAAAATCGTGATACGTAATGTATCGTAAGGCAATATCGTGGTACGTAATGTATCATGAAACAATATCGTGATACGTAACGTATTGTGAAAAGAAATCGTGAAACGTAATGTATCGTGAAACAATAACGTGATGCGTAATGTATCGTGAGGCAACATCGTGGTACGTTACATATCATTAAACGACATACATCGTGGTACGTAACATATCATGAAACAATATCTTGATACGTAACGTATTGTGAAAAAAAATCGTGAAACGTAATGTATCGTGAAACAATAACGTGATGCGTAATGTATCGTGAGGCAACATCGTGGTACGTTACATATCATTAAACGACATACATCGTGGTACGTAACATATCATGAAACAATATCTTGATACGTAGCGTATCGTGAAATAATATCGAGATAGATAACGTATCGTTAAGAGATAGTGTGATACGTCATGTATTGCAAAGCAATATATTGGTACATAAAGGATAAAGGATACAGGATATGTACTGTATCGTAAAACGATATCGTGAGACGTAACGTATCATCAAACAATATCCTGATACGTAATGTATTGCGAAGCAATATCTGGGACATGAAGGATCGTTAAGCAATATCGTGATACGTAATGTACCGTAAGGCAATATCGTGGTACTTAATGTATCATGAAACAATATCTTGATACGTAACGTATTGTGAAAAAAATCGTGTTACGTAATGTATCGTGAAGAGATATCATGATACGTAATGTATCGTGAGGCAACATCGTGGTACGTTACATATCATTAAACGACATACATCGTGGTACGTAACATATCATGAAACAATATCTTGATACGTAGCGTATCGTGAAATAATATCGAGATAGATAACGTATCGTTAAGAGATAGGGTGATACGTCATGTATTGCAAAGCAATATCTTGGTACATAAAAGATAGTAAATCAAAATCGTGATACGTAATGTACCGTAAGGCAATATCGTGGTACGTAATGTATCGTGAAACAATATCGTTTTACGTTATGTATCGTTAAGCAATACCGTGATACGTAACGTATCATGAAACAATATCCTGATACGTAAAGTATTGCGAAGCAATATCTGGTACATGAAGGATCGTTAAGCAATATCGTGATACGTAACGTATTTTTAAACAATGTCGTTATACGTAATTTATTGTGAAGCAATATCGTGATACGTATTGTATCGTGAAAAGATTTTGTATTACGTAATGTAATGTGAAGCAATACCGTGATACGTAACGTATCGTGAAACAATATCGTTTTACGTTATGTATCGTTAAGCAATATCGTGATACGTAACGTATCATGAAACAATATCCTGATACGTAATGTATTGCGAAGCAATATCTGGTACATAAAGGATCGTGAAGCAATATCGGGATACGTAACGTATTGGTAAACAATATCGTTAAAAGTAATTATCGTGAAGCAATATCTTGACACGTATTGTATCGTGAAAAGATTTTGTGTTACGTAATGTAATATGAAGCAATATCGTGATATGTAACGTATCGTGAAACAATATCGTTATACAGAATGTATCGTTAAGCAACACCGTGGTACGTAACTTATCATAAAACAATATCCTGATACGTAATGCATTGCGAAGCAATATCGTGATACGTAGCGTAACGTGAAACAATATCGTTATACGTAATCTATCGTGAAGAGATATCGTGATACGTATTGTACTGTGAAGCGATATCGTGATACGTATCGTAACGTATCTTGAAACAATATTGTTATACGTAATGCATCGTTATGAGATATAATTATACGTTATGTATCGTGAAGCAATATCGCGGTACATGTACGTAACGTATTATGAAACATTATCGTGATACGTAACGTATCGTGAAACAATCACATTATACGTAATGTATCGTTAAGAAACACCGTGGTACGTTACGTATCATGAAACAATATCCTGATACGTTATGTATTGCGAAGTAGTTTCTTGGTCCATAAAGGATCGTGAAGCAATATCGTGATACATTACGTATTGCGAAACAATATCGTGAAACGTAATTTATTGTGAAGCCATATCGTGATACGTATTGTATCGTGAAAAGATATTGTGTTACGTAATATAATGTGAAGCAATATCGTGTGATACGTAACGTATCGTGAAACAATATCGTTTTACGTTATGTATCGTTAAGCAATATCATGATACGTAACGTATCATGAAACAATATCCTGATATGTAATGTATTGCGAAGCAATATCTAGTACATGAAGGATCGTGAAGCAATATCGTGATACGTAACGTATTGGTAAACAATATCGTTATACGTAATTTATCGTGAAGAGATATTGTGATACGTAATTTACTGTGAAGAAATATCGTGATACGTATCGTAACGTATCGGGGAAAAATATCATTATACGTAATGTATCGTTAGGGGATATCGTGATAAGTTATGTATCGTGAAGCAAATCGTGATACGTAAGATATCGTGAAACAATATCATTATGCGTTATGTATCGTGAAGCAACATCGTGGTACATGTACGTAACCTATCAAGAAACAATATCGTTATACGTAATGTATTGTGAAACAATATCGTGATACGCAACGTATCGTAAAAATATCGTGATACGCAACGTATCGTAAAAATATCGTGATACGCAACGTATCGTAAAAATATCGTGACACGTAATATATCGGTAAGATATTGTGATACGTTATGTATCTTGAAGCAAATCGTGATACGTAACGTATCGTGAAACAATATCATTATGCGTTATGTGTCGTTAAGCATCATCATGGTACGTAACGTATCATGAAACAATATCGTTATACCTAATGTATCGTGAAGAGATATTATGATACTATCATATTGTGAGATACATAACGTTTCTTGAAGAGATTTTGTGATACGTTATGTACAGTGAAACAATATCGTTGTACGCAACGTATTATGAAAAAATATTGTGATAAATAACGTAACGTGAAGCAATATCCTGGTTTGTAACATATTGTCAAGCAATACTGAGTTACGGTCTGTTTAACGGAGCAATATCGTGACATGTAACATGTCGTGAAACAATACCGTTATATGTTGTGTATTGTGAGGCAATAGTTTGATACGTATGACAATATGACATTGTTCGTAACCAGGTGATAATATCCGTTTGTGTGATGTGGTTACTATGCTACATCCTGACTGTTACCAACGTATTCCCAGTCGATGAAACGGCATACGGTTATGATGCAAGGACGGATCTTCGGACTGAAATCATGTATGAAGCCCCGTGGTTCTCCATTCCTTATCCAGGTATATGGTCTGTCCATTTTAACTAGTATGTCAATTTAATTATGCAATGATTACTATTTGATGACATAGTTAATATTCAATAAGAACGTTATTTTTTAAATGTCCATATGAAGAGCGGTGACGCCTATTGATCAATACCATTACCGTTAAATGTGAAGTTTAAAAGAAAGAAGTATTTACAAGCAATTCAATCTGTAAAACATGGAATTCTAGCACGTAGGTTCCAATACATATTATTACGATTCGTCGGGTTTTCCGATGAATTTTGTGTTTCCTTGTTTCTATTCTTTACGTTCCTATGTTTAAACGCTATTGTAATTACTTATTCTCTCTTACTATCACTTCTGCATGCGTTTTATTTATTTTGTTTATTTTTAATAGGAAAGTTTGGTTTACCTGTATTTAACACGGCAATGTTCGTGGGGATGATTGCCGGTGTGTTGACCTCTATTATCGAGTCTATTGGGGACTATTACACGTGTGCACGCATAGCCGGGGCTTTGCCCCCTCCACCTTCTGCTGTCAACAGAGGTACGTGTGGTCAAAAATGATGTTTACCGAGGTAAGGTCAGAAAATGACTCTTACAAGCAAAGTTAACTGATCAGTATCAAACAAGGTGCTGAATTACATGTGTTATATATCTATTAATCATTATATATTATTATCATATTAATTTATTAAGGAACGAATAAACAATTATATCCTTTTTTTCTCGTTAATATAACTGATTTTCGTTTTATACCAGGTATTCTTCTAGAAGGTATCGATTGCATTCTCGCCATTTTGGTTGGATCTGGATTTGGTGTGACGTCATGCAGTCAGAATATCGGCGTTATCAGTCTAACCAAGGTTTGTTTACTAAAATTATTTGTGTGAGAATGTGCTATTATAGATTACTCTTCTAGATTATCACATATTCTGATTATAGTTATGGTATTCTGTCAGTATCCTCGTGATTCTTTGATTGCAAGGACAAGTGTCTCACCGGTGCCCCTTGTTGTGTTTCTTTGTCAACTTGGAGTGCCGATGTGTCCATTTTGTATAAACGCTACACTTCTGCCTTTCACCTGTTATTTTCACACTGGTAGGTCGGTAGCCGCCGTGTGGTTCTCGTGGCTGGAATAATGCTAATTTTCTTTGGCTGCTTCTCTAAGATGAGCGCTTTTGTTGTTACTGTACCGGATCCAATTATTGGAGCAGCATTCATCGTCTTATTTGGTAAGACTTTTTAATGGATCTTTATTTGTATAAAGGATATATATTTAGATAAGTATTATCGATCATAAAAGGTTATCAATAATACGGTTTAAGCCCTACATATTTAATTCCACCACATTGAAACAGATGCTATCGGAAAACGAAACATGTTTTTGTACCTGATATGGGTTGTATGACGTTTGAATTCAATTCAAATAGTGGTGATTTGTTAGTTTAGTTCGAGTCGTGTTGCTACGATGTCATTTCTACCATAGTTGATTATAGTTACATTCATTCTATGAGCAGCTGTGCTAACTGCCGTTGGAGGGTCCAATCTGCAGTATGCTGATCTGAACTCTCCCAGGAATATGATAGTGATGGGCATGGCTCTTTTTGTTGGTCTTGCACTACCACCATGGCTGACGGACAATCAAGATTTATTTCTGCAACGTAAGTAACATAGATAAACAGAATATAGAAACATGATGATCCTTTTCTTCGATCATATGATACCTCCGTTTATGCGTCTCTGTGCACCTAGATATATCATCATTTTTTCATTAAATACGTCATCTTCTTACTGAAAAACGTTACGATATCAATAAGGATTGCACACAAATTACCACAAGGTAATACATAGTATCTCGCAGATACAAATTCATAACCAAGAGCTGATCTTTGATTTTATGCTTGACGTATGTCATTGAATTTTAATATATCTATTGTGGTTAATATATGCATGCATTAAATGTGTATAACGTAATTATATACCTAGTTACTGAACTGACCATTGGAACGTCCACTAACTCTATATCATTAGAATCGTGTATGTTATATAATTTTAATGTTAATAATGATATCGTTTCTTGTGACATTTGCTAGTAATATAACTATGGTCATCCCTTATGATTATTCTCCGTAGTCTTTTAAGCTCAAAATGCATGGTTTGTTATGTCGATTGCTGTCCCTATTGCGATTATTACAACGTGCTTCGTTACCGTTTTCAGTCGATTTCGGCTTATAAAGTATTTGATGCTTAAGGTTGATTGTTTATGATAACATTTCATATATTGCCCTCTTTGTAGTATACATTACCAACTTGTTCGTACTTTTAGTTGATTCCGGACTTCGACAGGTCATCACAGCCTTGTTGGGAAACAACATTTTCATGGCCTGCTTTACAGCACTGATCCTGGACAACCTTATGCCTGGTAGGTCAGACGTTTTAAATGATGATCTACTGTCATATCACTATGTTGATTATGGCAAGAGAGAAGCATGTGGTAGCTATAAAAGTACATAATGTTTATTATTTTTTCTTGGGAAATAGGGTGGTGTTTGTTTTCTGCCCCGTACTAGTCATTTCCTTATTAAATCAAAGATAACTGAGAGCTATTTTTTAACTCAAGAGATTATGCATTCTGATCATATCATAGTAGGAATCGTACAGGGAAAAGCTCTAATGCATATCCAAAATGTAGCTTTCATATATCAAATATTTTGAAAACAAAATAGATACTCCCGTAAAAGCATTGTTTTTATTGGGCATTTCGAATAAAATTAATAGTTTTTCCACTGCAATCAGGTACGGTTGAAGAACGCGGGCTGGTTGCCTGGCGACAGGTGTTTGAAGATAGTGGATCAGATGTTGATGGTACCACTAATGCGATGACCTTAAAGACCTATGACCTGCCCTTTGGTATGAGCTACATACGGAAGTGCAAATGGGCTTATTATATCCCCTTTTCGCCCACTTTTCTCGGAATGGACGGCTGCTGTTCTGGAAGTTCCGCGAAAAAAGACAAGAAATCTTCAGTATTCACTCACACGGAGCAAGATCACAAATAAGCAACTATATATAGTGTATTTTGCTGATAAATTCCCCTACCATTAATTCACAGTGAATGTTTCACTGAAATGTCTCCAAATAGTTTATACATACATATGTTTGTGGCCGTTTCAATATAGTAATAAGGAAACGTGTGGAACAAATACGTGAGTTTCAATTCAATGAGTTAACTAGAGACATCGGGACGCAATTCATCATTCTAATGTAAACAGAAAACGAATTCAACATACCTTTTACTATCACAGTAAAAAGAATATATATTAAATCTTGCAGACATACTGTTAGTATCCAATGTCACCATCATAATGTCATCATTATTATTTTGTCAGTGATATGACGTTATTGTAACATATTAATGACATCAAATTGGGTGACATTAAATCAGGCAATAGACATATGTAATTTAACGCTTATTTGCTGCACAAGAGTGGTCTTTTTTTAATGGAACTTGTAATATTTTCGCTCAGCAATAGCACGGACTCATCTGGAAACATAGTACTTTGTTCATTGATAATAGTATTTATTCATTTGGATTTTCAGGTTTATTTCGTTCTTTGCAACAAAAGTTGCGTACGCAATGTGCGTTAAACCTACAGCGGAGTAAAGTAGAACTTCATCATCATGTAACCAAGAGTTCCTGCGTGAATTAATTTTGGAAGCTTTATTTGTTTCCGATCTTATTTCTCAACCAACGGATTATAACCACGCACTTTAGTTTCGTCGAATCATTTCATTCAATATCTGTATTTTTGTAGTGTAAAAACCGTTTATATTGCAAATCGTGTAATAAAACAGACTGATTAGGTACAGGTATGACAAATATATATTTGTATGAATATTTTAAAAAAGACAAGAGTTTCTTCGACTTCCCTATCACTTGTTCCTCTCTTTTTTATATTTAACCATCACCAGGACTTTGAAATATGTTTCTGATTATCTATATATGTATATATTTCGTTTCCCTGTGTGTCAGATAGAGGTGTCCAGGGTAAGAAAGGGGTGTAGGAAATGTCTATCTTACATCCCATTTCCCGTGACGTGACGTCACAATGGCTCAACAATGACGTGCGTCACGAATTTGGAACCCTCCGATGCCGCAATGAGGAAAAGGCGACGTGATGAAATTAAAACCTTTTACGATATATTTACCGTTCACGTTCAAATGATGTGATTATTTTTTCTGCTCAACACTGTTTGCAAATATGGGATATGCTAAATATGACTGGCTAATTCGTTTTCGTCTAAAAACCTCAGGGAAAAAATTGATATTTTCAAAATGGTGGCCAGTCCAAACGCATTTTCATGGTGTCTGAGTTTATTCTGATGGTTGGACTGAGAGAAAAATACTCTTTCATACCCAAGGGTGTAGGATAGGGAAAAGCCTCGGGTTTTGCCAAATTTAAAAACACCTCGTGTGGAATTTCCCTATCCTACACCCCTGTGCATGAAAGAGTCTTATAATATGTACCCCTTCGAATGTTTATTCCTGATAATTTACGTCCCTAATTATAGCTATTTGTAATACACTTTCGTTTTTCCGACACACTGAAGACGATTTATATCTGCGACAAGAACGTAATGCATGTCATAATCATTGACATGTTGCAGTATAAGTGTGAATAAAAGATATAAAATGACTAAATATAAGGAATGAATATGTAGTTACCTCCCTTATATTAAACATTGTTTGTTACAAAATGTATATCAAAAAATCATTCCTTTTATAAACTAATGGGAAACAGTTTTCTGAAAAGTGAATTTTATTAACAAAATGAATTCCGAGATTCATGTTCTTTTTATACTGACTATTCACGTCTGATGAATGCTTTATTATAACAGAAAATCATCAAATATGCATAAAATAAATATTATACAAAAATAGTTAGATTTGTTGTTCATAAATAACACATATATTTCGACACATTTGTTGAAAAGCACACATAAACAAATGGTATAACACAACCAATATATAAACCATAAGTACATAAGGACAACATTTGGGTACACTCTTTGTGAGTAATGATTGGTTTGTTTGTGTTTTACGTCCTATTAACAGCTATGGTCATTTAAGGACGTGCCAATTGTTGCTGGTTGAGGAAAGCTGGAGCTGAAGTTTCCGGAGAAAAAAACACCGACCTACGGCCAGTGAACAATGATCATAAAAAATATATAAATATATAAAGAAAAAATAGTTTGTACCAGGTAAAGCCCAAAGATTTGACAGAAAAATAATATAGGTATATTAAATTGATTCTCCAGAACATTTATCTAATGTATATAACATAAATACTTGTTGTACTCCCACTCATTCGTTCGTTCTTAACGAACACAGAATATATGTTTGTGTAATAACAACATTACTTTTAATTGCTTAAAAGTTATGGCATACCATTTGACGATTTCATTGACGTACCAAAAAGGACTTTCACATGCGATAGGTGTTTACAGTTTTTACACGACTCGCTGTGTGTATAGGAACACTGTATGTATATAAATAAAATAATTACAGTATAATCACACGACCGTTCAATGGAAAACAAGTTTTACAATAAACAAACACGTAGACACAAAATCCATTAATTGGGACGAATTTATTCGGGACAGGGTAAAAGTAAGATATATATTTGATTGTTATATTCATTGGTGAAGTACAGTTTTTCATATGTTATCTAATTCCAGCTTACAGACAGAAATCGACATCTTCTAAATTGGTAATGGCGTTTTATCAGTAATTAGCTTCATCACGGTACAATGTCTTGGGAATATAAATAACATGCTGGTAATAATACTTATAAGCGTCACTGCAACCGTGAATTCATATGTGCATGCTGGTTTTATCGTTCATTCTACCCTCCGATAGATACAACTAAATGCTGAAATTACTTTGAAATCTTTAAAACATTGTGGCTATGTATTAAAGGCATGAAAACGTAATTAAAAAAACAATCGTATGAAAGTGTATCGATAAAGGACCTTTCTAATCATCACGTGGGTGGAATTGAAATAAAGCAAGTAACTTCAAAATTGTTTAAAATTTAGAATATATAAAATGGCAAAGGCATGGTATTGTAACCCACATCACTCGCATTTGAATATTTAGCATGATAAACACTCTAGCTTTTCAGCCGGTTTTTTTTTTAATTTTGTTTAGCCAACATGTATTAACACTCAACAAATTTTGCTAGAACATTTCATTATCTTTACAATCAATTGTTAATGAAAGCAAATAAAACAACTTTATTTTTGATTGACTGCTATGAATGTTAGTTGGTTTGCTATGTCTCTGCAATAACACAGATCAAATAACGAAAATAGCATCATATGGTGGGGAATATACAAGGTCACGTAATAGTGTGTCTGTGTCACATCGTTACCTGGATTCGGTAACACCATTCTTCATTTCTGATATTTGACCTGCTGCTTTCAATACAATTAACAAAGTATTGTTCTTGAACGAAATGTAACAATATTAATATCTATAAAATGTATATGAAATCAGAAAAATCGATGTAATCATTTTGCTTAGAAATATCGTCCATCAACAAAGCTATTCCTTAAGGTTGCCATCTGATTACTCCTTTTTAGTCCTTCAAATATATGGAGCTTAAATGATTGAGAGCAATGAGCACTCTGTAATCTTGGAGCCATACTTTCATTTGCCACTGCCAGGAATAACTGCAAACAGATAATAAAATATTAAGTTTAAAAAAGGAAGCTTATGTGTTTATTGTCAATGTTCACTTGTAATACTGATGTAAAATGTTGATTGATTCATCTATTAGGATCAGTTCAACGTCAAAAACGCCGAAATTATTTTGACATTATAAGGCACAACTGAAAAGACAATACACAATGTAAATTGAATACTTATGTTCCAGAAATATTGAAGATTGAGACAACAAGATAAATTCATGAAATGTCACGGACATGATAACATTATATATTAATCACAGTGAGACTACGTTTGCATTGTATAAAAATAAAATAAAAAAATAAAATAATATTTTTCATCCTTTAAAGATAATAAGGAAGTTTAATAATTCGATTTTTTATGAACTTTTCAGAGAAATACTTACAAACATGGTAACTTGGGCAATGTGTACACGTCCTATCGCAAAAACCTGTTGCGGATGTTTCATTTATTCGTATACACGGAGCACCAACACCGCATTTAAAAACATGCAAGAAGTTATTGTCGCAAGTTATATAAACGCCGCAACTGTAAGGATGATACAGTAGTGCGTTAGATCTTTTTCCATTGCACAAGGTTCCTGTAAATTGTGGAAAGTTTATATGCGTTAGACAATGAAGGATTTACGATCTGTAGTCGAATATGTGATCTTGTAAATAAAACAAATTGTAGTTAAACCCTTATTTAGCCACGAAAGGAAGACAGTAATTTTCCAACTTCATTTTGCTAAATTACCTTCTGGTTTACCTCCCGTTAACTTTTAATACGTATTATAGTTATACTAAGGTGGTTTACAGTGACGTATACTTTCCACAAGGGCCTTATAGGTGACCGCAATACTGTCATATCAAATTTGAGTTTAAACATAATGGTTAAATGTGAACAGTTTATAAAATGTATCTATGAAGCAGATACAAACAGTTATTGTTGTAATCGTAAAAAGCAAACACTGGAGGTTTGTGATATTCAACTGCAAAATATGAATCAACGATACTCGTTATGAACATGTAGATCAAATTCAAGTAATATGACGTCCTCATATCAACAACGCGGGTGGTGACAACAAAACCACAAGATGTCGACCGTAGATGACGTCCATAATCGTCATTGATCTGCAACTTTGTAAACCCTCTTATGTAAGTCTTTCAGTCGGCAGTGGACTTTTATCGAGAAAATCATGGTATTCGGATCAAGCATTTTAAAATCAACTACGACAGGTAGGTTGGCTCAAGTATCAGTCAATAGAACAGAATCGTTTTTGAAACATTTCGAACTTAAGAAGAAACGAATTTAGATCTCACAGATTTGTCTCAGTTTCAACAAAATTAGTCAATTAATTTAACCAAAATAACACTTTACGAAAATATGTAAAGTTTGACATAATATGTTGACAGTAAACGTAACACCAGTTTGTTTATACTTACCATCAACAACCAAAACTAATTCTTCCGTTGAGTAAAGAGTGCTAACGGCGTCTGGATGATCTGTTGCACATCTAATGTATGACCCGTTTATAGCCGTTGTTGGGGTACCGCTGAATAATACTTCTTTTGTAACTGCGCAATTGTCATCTGTAGATGATTCCGTTTTTGTGAACTCTGTGAAGTTAACAAATGAACTTGATCCATCCATTTTTATTTGCAGGTTGATAATTCCGGATGGATAACCGGTCTCGCCAGAACAATTGATAGCAGGAGAAAGTGTATGTCCAGTAGCAACGCGAGTTGCTGAAGTTAACGTTGGGTTGGTTTTCGGAGTATCTGGACAGAAAAAAACGACATTTAACACATATTTTATCAAATCAATTGCAAACTACTTCCGAATGACATAATGCACAGTATACATGTTCGGTACATATTTTACTATGGTAGCAGAGCACATTACTGATCCTAAATAGAAAGGGCATGTCTCAAACAAACATGGATAGTGGATTCATCCTGCACACCTATATATATATATATACTTCAAATAAACAGTCTGAATAAGTTGAGAATTTTTCTTTTTATGTTATTTTACTTCGTCCGTAAGGAATTTTTTTCTGCTTTTATAATAAATATATATATATATATATATATATATATATGTACATATATTGATAAACCATATTTTGATTATATTGTTTTAAGAAGAAAGACATTTTTTTAAAGTGTTTTTTCCGAGAATTGGGATTGTGGAAAACATGGTCACCATATCAAATAACACCAACATTATTGCAAACAAAAGCATGATCTCTAACCTAAAATTTTCATTATTTGTTTTGAAAATTATGAATTCCACAGAGTCCACTTCATCATGTATATGCCAATTTTAGTGCTGATTTTTTTTTATACATGTTATATTACAGGGGTTATTCATTGAACAAAAGTATCACACAAGGTTTCCGTACGCTACTGTACACTGCTACCTATAGGTTTGTGGGTAGATGTTTCTTAAACTCTAATCTTCACTATTAATGGAAATATGCATCGTAACAAATGTATAAAATGACATTATGATGTTTACGAGGCGCATTAAAGTCTTTTTAAATATGCAAGAAACAACAATAACATCTTACCAGAATCAATGGTCACTCTGTTGTTCCAGAAACCTTTTTTTAGTTGATAAGACATTTAACAGTGATGACATAAGCTGTATAATGCATCTTCCAAGTTCACAGATATATGTCATTTATGCATCTAGTATTGCTTGACAAAGTCCTAATTGCTTTTCAACATTCAAATACGAATTTATACAGAATAACGTTACTTGGGCGAGTGACGTAACGCTGTGCTTCAAACTAGTGGGATGTTACATGCAACAGGTCCATTGCTTTTAAAATTATTAGCAGTGTTAGAATTAATGATAATCAGAATTAACTAATTACGCATACTTACAATTGGGTACTATACAAGAAGTATTAGTCATATCTCGAAAATTACAGACTTAAAGATGAAGCCTGCTTTGTGTACATTTCAATATATATCCCGAAAAGAAAGCTTATAAAATTATAGATATAAACCATCGAAACCTATTGTTAAATAAGACCACAAACATATTATTAAATGTTCAATTCGTATACGTTTTTAAAAGATCTTTTTATTACCTCTAACGCCAACGTACGCAGTCGTGGATGAGTCCCCGGATACCGCAAATACATTGAAATGAAAAACACCCTCATCACTACAGGCCAACAATGTAAAAGCAATGGTGATGTCTTTCCCAGCATTGGACACTGTCACATCCCTGTTTGCACCGCTGTCGTCATTGACAACACCGGTAGGGTGAATATCGACAACGTGGCTTGACGTCTGTGTTTTGCTCGGGGTGAATGTCACATTGATATAACTGTACGTGACTTTGTTTACACTACATGTTACATTTGCCGATGAGCCGATCAAACTATTTACACCACTGCATGTTGCAACTGCAACATAAAATAGATACATTTTAATTAGTTGCAAAACACGGCTTTAATAAGGAAAAGTTAGAGCAAGGTATATTAATTTATTACAAACTAATATTGTTCCATACGTTTGATAACAATGTTTTTACGATATTAGATACTTATTATAAACCTGATAATGAGAAAAATAATGACATTGAAATTAGATTTTAAAAAATTGACAAAGAATAGTCTGTTTTTGTTAAAGTAAACCATACTTATACATTTCCTACCCGTCAGTGTTACTGACGAAGACATCTAAATTCGGTATAAATAAAGTGATCTGGTATTTCCAACTCCAAATTGTCCTATGTGTTTCAAGGCATCAGTTATTCGAAAGTGTGTCTCAAGATTATAGTGTTTCATAGCTATTCCGCGAGTACACAGTTTTCAATGCAAATTCCTGACGAATTAAAATTAAGTCTCAAGTTTTTTAATAAAAACATTGAGATTCGTCAAGGAATTCAGGATCAAGTTAGATCAGACGACTTTCTACTTGTTTCCTAGCGGTGCCGGTAAATCAGTTCAAATAGCACAAGAAAACGTAATTCAAACTCAAATGTCAGTGTTTTGATCACGTTTTTTAAAAAATTGCGCGTGCGACGACTATGCATTCTGTTTTGGACTATAGGAATAATTCACACTATACAAATACTGTTTGTCATACAAATTCTTAAGGTCATCATAAAATGTTAATATGCTGACAACAAAATATTCATTTGAAGCGCAAGATACTGCAACATTCAAGCCTTGATCCGATTTGGGTCCTGACATTCGCAAAATCCGGTGACGTTGATTGGTGACTTCAGAGCGTTCTATAAATATCTTAAGTGAGCCCCGGGTGCTTATTTCGTTTGTAAGAACACCCATCGATATTCTTCCTTTGATACAATCATAAATGAATATAATTCCTCCTCATTTTTTTAATGGTTTAATAAAATGATGGTTTGGTGATCCGATTTGGGTACTGTCACCTTATATATGATATAAAATGCCGAAAAAATATAAAGCGCTTTGAGAATAGTCTCTAATATCTTCCTACCTAAAATGCATCAAATTTTAAAGAAATTAATTAATTCACATTCAGTAAAATAATTAAAAAAATAATCTATTTATCCAATTTCGAAAAGCCTGATAAAACTTACAAAGTTATTATAAGGCGTTTGTAGCATGTAGTACTATGATCAGTTAGCTACGTTTTTTTAGAAATCAGTCAGTAATACCATCATATACTCAGAACATAAGCTTTTATGTACACTTTTGCTAAGTTGATTAAAATGCTTTGTTACTCACTGATTTAGTACTTTTAAAGCTACAGTTCCGAGTAAATCTAGGTGTAATTCGAAAGTAACTTATTCCGTTATAAACGACTGATTTAACAAGAAAAACAGCGGAATCAAGGAATACCTATACTTTTTTCATAATAGAAGAAGCCATGTACCTTTCTAATTCAATGTGTCCGTCGCATGAACTGCATTTTTTTTTTAAATTACTTACATACATCTGGTGGTGGCGTTGTTGTAGCTTGTGTGGTAGTGGTAGCTATAACAGAAAACATGTATGTTAGATGTGAGGAGAAAGAGTTCTTTTCAAATAGATGATTAAATGATAAGATTGACCAGATAAATATTTAAGGTAAATACACCCTGTATTTATACTCGGTGTCCATAATACGCAGCGATGGCAACGTTTACATCATCTCAATTAGTTGCTCAGTATTCGCCATTACTTAGAATGTTCTGTCAATATTCCATATTTTATCTTATTGACTGGTAACTCCTGGTTGTATGGAATGACAAGCGACTAGTATAACCATCATTTGATTAGTATCGCTGTGTTAGAGGTTTAAGGCTTGAGGATGAATTATCAGTTAAGTGACTGTCTTTGTAATAGTATATGTTCAGCCGACAACTAAGCATATTCAATACTAATGGATACAACAAAATATTTGTTTTACTCACTTGTTGTTGGTATGCTAGTACAAGGATAAGTCTGACAGTCACCACATAGGGGGGCCACAGACAGACCAGTATAGCACTGCTCTCCACAACCACGGCCATAGGATAGGTCATTGTAACACTGAACATACTTGTTACAGCTATATGGGTTTGCTTTATACGTATTTGCAGTTTCACCAATGCAAAAATCAGCTGAAAAATAATAATCATTTAATTGACTTCCATCGAACCCGTAGAGGAAAATATGTATTACTGTTTGAGTATTAATTTGAAACTAGACTTTTATTCTATATTATCAAATAATGAACAATGATTTATAGTGGAGCTTATATTTATTTTAAAATGTATACTAACCAGGTATCAGATATAAGATAGCAGTATCATTTTGTTCTACATCACCATCCTCAAAGACATCACTATTTTTTGCCCTGCATGTAATGGTACCGTTTCGCCATTCAGTTCCTAGTTTAAGTCCAAATGCTAGCCTAGCTTTGTTGTTACAGTTTTCAGTGGTCATAGTATTTCCTCCTGCTCTGGATCCATCATAGTCTGCTAATGGTACGGAATAAACATTGGGATCTCCTTGTTTAGTCATTGTGACCTCCAGCTGACCTCCAGGATAACCTACGAATCCTTCGCATACATGTTCAGATCCAATTCGATCGGTGTCAATAACGAAGTCTGGATGCAGTGTCATTAATACAGGCTTTGGTTTAGCTAGAAAAGGGAAAAAAATGACTATAGATCATAATCCCAAAAGCATATACCAACTTATAATGCACAACGATAAACTCTCAATCCAAAGGGTGCAGTACGTTAAAATAGGTCCCATTAAATTTATAATGGTAATTAATACAGTATCATCCTGATGCTAACTGTTCGTAAGCATTCTTAATCAGCGTACGATAATTTATGTTCTTACCCCATACGTTAAGTGTTACTGTCTTTGATTCGGTATTTCCTCCATTTTTCTTCATGTGTACAGTAAACAGTCCCCCATCGTCACATTCTACGCTGTCGTACGTAATTTGGAGGGATGATTGACCGAAAACGACATGCTCCCCAGTCTTTAAGTTTCGGTTAATCACATTTCCAACGGAAGTCACATCTGCTAGGTTCCTTGTCGCCTTGGTAACGTTGATGTAGTCGAACGCTAGTGTCATTTTGCAGGTAAGAGTCACAGGTTTCCCTATGAATGCGGTCACATCGGTGCATTTGATAACTGTTAAGACACAACATTATCTACATGCATATTACATTTTTTAAGTGATATGACGTTCATTTTTGTTTTCCCATTTCATTATCAAAAAACGTTTTACAAAATAGTTCAATTTTTATCGTTCAAACCGCAAATTATACCCAACGGCACTTTTAGTTAGTTGTCCAAATATAAGGTTGTAAAGACAAGCACAGCACTTTTGTATGCATAGAGTAGTCTATAGTTTAAGTATTACAGGTGATTCGATAACAACAGTTACGGTAGACCAACCACAAGGAAACAAATAGAAAGTCGCCTGGTCTAACTTGACTTGATATTTCAACGAATCTCAATGTTTTCGATAAAGAATTTGAGTCTTAATATCCATTCGTATATATTATATATTATATTAAACATCTACTCGTGGATTTAATATAGAAAACTATAATCTGATACACACTTCCGGATAGCTGATTTTTAAAATACATTTTAAGATCATTAGGAGTTGGAAGTACCAGATCCCTTTATTATATACCAAAACTATATGATGAACAATTAAAAATGACCTGCAGTTTATCTAAAAGTAATGTTTATTTTGGGGAAAAAATAATCATAAAATTACTCTTTACTGTATAACGTCTGCTTAACGTCATATCACTATAAGGTGGTCGTTGAACTCTACGATCATGAAAAAATATGAAGTGTTTTAAGAAAAGTCTGTTATCGTACTTTTTAAAATGCATCCAGAGTTAAAATAAAAAGGGCCGTAGAGTATCACTTGCAGTTTTAACGACATAGGGTAACGGTTCAAAATCACACAGTTATTTATGATAAACATTTCTTGAGAAAACAGAAAGCGTTTTAAGAATCAAAGCTTAAAGAAATTGATTAATTCAGTCTAGTTCCGATTTTTTTATTACTTAAGTGTGTGGAGCAATACTCACAAATGTGGTAACTGGGGCAATGTGCACACGTTATATCGCAAAAGCCTGTTGCGGATGTTTCATTTATTCGAACACACGGAGCAGCAGCAGGGCAGTTTAAAACATGCAAGATGTTGTTGGCACATTGTATAAATTGACCGCAACTGTAAGGATGATACAGCACTGCTCCATCACTTTTCCCATTGCACAAGTTTCCTGTAAATAAGATACAAAATGTAGTGTATCTAAACTGGCAGTCCGTAGAGCTGGAGGGGGGGGGGGGGGGGGNTACACGATTGAAGCAAACGTTGAATTGATTTTGTTATTAAACTGCAATGTAATAGCATGTATGAATGCTCTGAACACATTTATTTTTTGGCAGCAAGGTTTAATCAACTTTCTCGTTCTTACAGTTTGCATATTACTTTGTCCCGAATAAAAGCTTCTCTCCGTAATATATTTTAATTGTCCGTTCAAAAAAGCAATTTAAGTTATTAAATTGACACCATATCTTGAAAGTGAATGTTCATGTAACACCTCAGAAAACATCAGCTAATTATTCCATAAACATACTTACCATCAATAACCAAAAGCCTTTCTTCTGCCGAGAAAAGAGTATTAACAGCATCTGGATGACTTGTTGCGCATCTAATATATGACCCGTTTACAGCCATGGTTGGGGATCCGCTAAACGATGCTTCTTTTGTAACTGCGCAATGGACATCTGTAGATGATTCCAATTTTGTGAATTCTGTAACGTTAACGAAGGAACTTGATCCATCGTACTTTATCTGCAGGTTGATAATTCCGGATGGGTAACCGGTTTCGCCCGAACATTTGATATCAGGATAAAGAGGAAGTCCGGTAGCAACGCGAGTGGCTGGAGTGAACGTTGGGATAGTTTTCGGTGTATCTGGGGAAACATTTAAACATATGTTTGATCACATCACTTACAAACAAACTACTTTCAAATTATCATTGTTCCATACATATTTTGCTAAATACATATTGGTTAATGTTACTGACATGAACTCCACTCTTAACGTATTCATGAAAAGAATGCATTGTAAGAAATGTATAAAATGGAGTTATGCTACCTAGGAAGCGGCATTAAATTCTTCTGTATCATAGTTTCAAATTAACAATGGCTAATGCTGGTTACTTTCCTAGACCAGAATCATTGTCTCGTTGACACAATAAACTGTCTTGGAATTAACCGTTTTCTTAAGAGCTGTATAATGCATCTTCAGAGTTTACAGTATTTCTTTTACTTTTCAATTTCGATTTATACTCGTCAATATTTTTCTTATCTACCTGTGACACCTTTTTCTGGTACAGTGCGCCTGCCTGATGTAACGTGGTCGTATTTCTAACGTCAAACATCGAATCCATTTCCTTTGACACGGTTACAAGGGTGCAATATTGACCATGATGATTCATGGCTTTGATTTATGGAATTTAGAAAATCGAAACCACAATCCCATATACATTTTGCAAACTGCATACCAGGTATTAAATTAAATACTAAACTTCCAGCATACTTTGTTATGATATTACGTGGGCGACAAATTTATAATGCCCTGCGCAATTCAACTCAGTATACTTTTCAAAATAATTATATTACCTCTAACAATGACTGACGCAGTTGTAGATGAGTCACCCGATGTTGCAAACACATCAAAATGAAAAACGCCTTCATCACTACAGGTCAGCGATGTAAAAGAAATGATGATGCTTTTCCCGGCATTGGACATTGCCACAATCCTATTTGCACCGCTGTTGTCATTGACCATACCGTTGGTAGGGTGAATATCGACAACGTGGCTTGACGTCTTGGTTTTGCTCGGGGTGAAGGTCACATTGATATAACTGTACGTGTCTTTGTTTACACTACACGTTACTGTTGCCGATGAGCCAATCAACCTATTTGCACCACTGCATGTTGCAACTGCAATATACAAATGCTTATCTTATACTTGGTTGTAACACGGGGTTTTGATAAGGAACATATGGCCTGCTAACATTAACAATGTTTCTACGATATCAAATATTAAATATAAACCTGATAATGAGACAAAAATTACATAGAAATAAAGAAAGATTACAATTTACAACTAAAAATGTTGGGGCAGGGTGGTTTCAAAAAAACTATGCTTAGAAATTTACTGCCCGTCAGCTTTTAGTGTTCAACATATAAATTCAGTATAAAATAAATTGATCTGGTACTTACAAATTATCCTCAAACATGTTTCAAGAAATCAGTTATTCGAAAGAGTTTCACAGATTTTAATGTTTTAAAGTTAATCCGGAGTTAACAGTTTTTAATGCAAATTCTTTACGAACTATAATGAAATCTCAAGTTTTCTAACAGAAATCTTGAGATTCTTCAAGAAGATCAGGGACAGGTTAGATTAAATGACTTTGTACATGTTTCGGAACTTAGCAGCTCCAGGTTCATCAGTACGCTCGGTACATGCCAGCTTTGAGTGGCCATCTATAGTGCATACAGTAAATGTACACGTCAACAGGTAAACACAATGATTTAACATCTGATTTTAAGTCGCGATGAAAAATGTTGGTCTTAAGTATTTTTTTATTAAATTACCTTTAACATTTTATTCCAGACCATTACTCTATACATAAAAAAGTGGCATGCACTCCTTGCTTTTCTTCAAAATATGTATTTAGAAAACTAACCAAAAGGGCTATTGAGTATCACTGGCAGTTTGAACGATAAATATTGAACTTGTTAGTAATACAATTTTGATAATTGAATGGAAAATAAAGTTTAACGCCATATCACTGTATGGTTGCCATTCAAAATTACGGAGTTAAAACTTATTTATGATATGAAATGCTGAGAAAACATAAGCGTTTGGAAGACAAGTCTCTGATATTTTACTATCTAAAACGCATCAAAGCCTAAATATATTCAATAATTAACATTCATATAAAAATAATGAAAAATGAATCTATTCTATTTCGTGATATTATTTACAAAGTTAACATAAGAAATTTATGATCACTGATCTGCGTTGTGTATAAAGCAGTCGGACATATTAGCATATACTTAGAACAGAAGCGATTACGTACACTTTTGTATATATGTTTAAAATGTATTGCTACTCACTAATTTAGTACTTTTAAATCTATTTTTCAGCGAACCTCTAGATGTAATGAGAAGGTAACTTAACCCGTTATGAACAACTGATTTAACCAGCAAAACAGCAGCGTCAAAGAATGCCTATGCTTTCTCATAATAGTGTCATAATAGAAGAAAACCATGTCCCTTTCTATGCTTATCGGTAAGTCACTTAAACTGTACAATTGTATATAAAAAGATACTTACATACATCTGGGGGAGGCAATGTTGAAGTTTGTGTGGTAGTGGTAGCTAAAAGAGAAAAACCAACACATTTTAGATTTGAGGAGAAAGAGTTCATTTCAAGTTAATGATCACATGAACAATTTAACCAGAGAGAAATTAAAGGTAGAGGAAATTCGCAGCGAAAGCCAACGTTCAATATCTCGATTTGTTGCTCGGTATTGTTCATTATGAATGTAAACGTTCTGTTAAAATTTAAATTGTTGTCTCATTTACCACTGACGGCTTGTTTCGGGTAAGACAAGCGGTTTTCATAAATATCATTTTAGTAACATCGATCTCTGTGTAGGAGGTTTTAGACTTTAAAATGAAATATCAGTTAAGTGGCATTTTTTGTTATTGTACATGTTCAGTCGACAATGAAATATATTCATTACAAATGGATACTACAGGATATTTGTTTACTCACTTGTTGTTGGTATGATACTACAAGGATAATTATGACAGTCACCACATAGGGGGGTAACAGACAAACCAGTATAGCACTGCTCTCCACAACCACCGCCAAAGGATAGGTCATTGGAACACTGAACATACTTGTTACAGCTATATGGGTGTGCTTTAAACGTATTGTCAGTTTCACCATTGCAAAAATCAGCTGAAACAGAAGAGAATCAATTAGAAGACTACCATCGAACCTTAGAGAAAAATACGTACAATTGTTTTGTTTTTAATTGGACACAAGACTCCAATCAATTATTATATAACACCTAACTGAGCATTCCTATTTCTAAATTGCATGAGATAACATAATATCATTGTTGTATTATGATGATGACATTTATCTTTAAACTCTTGCTTATTGGCTATCGTTTGTATCTTTATTATGTATATGTTGTTTTCAGTACACCTATTGTCTGTTTCATTGCGGAAATAGAGCAACTCACAGTATTTAACGTTGGTAATTTACCGTGATTTATCGTGGAACTTCTATTTATTTTAAAGTCTAAAATTATTCTCACCAGGTATCATATATAATACAGCAGTATCATTTTGTACTACATTGCCATCCTCAAGAACATCACTATTTTTGGCCCTGCATGTAATGGTACCATTTCGCCATTCAGCTCCTAGTTTTAGTCCAAATTCTAGCCTAGCTTTGTTGTTGCAGTTTTCAGTGGTCATAGTATTTCCTCCTGCTCTGGATCCATCATAGTCTGCTAATGGTACAGAATAAACATTGGGATCTCCTTGTTTAGTCATTGTGACCTCCAGTTGACCTCCAGGGTAACCTACGAATCCTTCACATACATGTTCAGATCCAAGTCGATCGGTGTCAATAACGAAATCTGGATGCAGTGTCATTGATACAGACTGTGGTTTAGCTAAAAACAGAAAAGGTAGAACTATAAATCATAATTCCAATAACAGATATCAAGTTACAATACGCAACAAAAAAGTTATCAATTCAAATGATGCCGTACATTTCAATTCGCAAAGTTAAATTTATTAGGATAATTAAGTATAATTTTCATTAATCAGCGTACAAAGATATCTGTTCTTACCCCATACGTTAAGTGTTACTGTCTGTGATTCGATACTTCTCCCACTTTTCTGAATTTGGAAAGTAAACAGTCCCCCATCATCACATTTAACAGTTTCGTATGTAATTTGGACGGACGATTGACTGAAAACGACATGCTCCCCCGTCTTCAAGTTTCTGTCAATCACATTCCCAACGGAAGTCACATCTGCCAGGTTCCTTGTCGCCTTGNAGTATTTATAGTCTCTAGAACAGAGGCCATACTTATTCACAACTTATTCATGACTTGCTCTGAGTATACATTGGTTTTGCTATTAAGAAAATGTGGGTCATATTTGAAGTAAATCTGATCACGACCATGTTTACTGAAAAACAAAAACATGACATAGTACAAGAAAGGCTATGCCTGTTGCTATTTCTGTTTGTCTTTTGACAATAAAATTGTTTGCTTTGAAATATGAAACTGATATGTTATACGGGAAACAGTTGTCTCCTGGACACCTAAGCAAAATGAAATCCAACATAAACCCACACAATAACCTTGGGTTACAGCAGGGTGTCTCTGAGCATAGGTGATCTAAGAAAAAGTATCATTGAATGCCATTTATCAGGCTAGGTACTGGGATTGAAATAAAGTCGCCTTGAAATGTTGTGTAAAGTGGCTATATTATAAGTACGTTCAATGGAAGAATACATACACTGGGATGTCGGAGGTGGTGTCGTTGTTGTCGTTGGTCCTTGTATTGTAGCTGTTAATAGAAAGACATGTAATTAGTACACAAAAGCCTGCTTTAGAAAATACTTAAACCAAAATAAAGCAACCAAAACAAACCATACAAAAAAGACATGAAAATAAAAAATAGAAAGATCTGATTAATGGAGCAGTATTATGTCTGATTAAAACAGTGGCGTTCCGATTTACACTGAAATTGCTCCGTTAGTATAATAATACTACCGGTTGTGAAATTAACTATACTAAGTCTTTGTCTTCTTGTTGTATTCTTTTTGTTTGTGTCATATGTACACACTGATTTATATGTAGCGGTGTATATGCGGCACAATCTATAAGAAGTTATAATTAATGGCTCTTACTTGTAATGTCCCATGGGCAAATAACTCCATCACAACCACCACAGGTAGCAAACAACGATCCGATGTTGGCACACTCGTTTGGATTGGGACACTGTGAGCCAAATGGATACTTGTTTGTACACCCTACGTACTTATTACAGTTTGTTGGGTGGTGCAAAACCTTCGGGGCGCTGGTTGTGTTACAGTGTTGTCCTACAAATAATCAAATTATACTATGTACTTAAGGTTTCAACAAATTCTATAGTTTAAGGCGACAAAAAGATAAGGCAACAATTTTACCTATCTACTCTGACACATGTTTCTAACAGGGTAAATGGATTTTGATTACATATGTAGTATACATGCAATTTGTGTAAGGACCAATACGACACAAAATACCACAAAATGATGGATTCAAAATGATGTATTATGACACAGGCATATTTTTATATAATTTTGGCATAGAATACATGTACCAATCACAAAATATGCTGGCATCTTTTCATATTATATTCGCATTATTTATCAATACAGAGCAATTGACGTAGACACCGTCTGGAATTTGTTAATTTTCTGAACGGAAAAAGGAAAACTAATATTCTATCATCTTAGAGTTAACAGTTAATCATATTAATACCATTTGATTGATATACAAGATAAGTAAAGAAATAACTGTCAACATAGATATATTCCATTATGTACAAAAACAATGATTTGGTTATTTAAATGGTTGTAAGTCAAAACTTCTATATTTTTTAAGCATTTTAATTTATAACGATTTTAACGACGTGAAGATAAAATAAGAATACGTACGAGGAATAAGTTCTAGCGTTCCAACGTCCGATTCGGTAGTAACGCCTAATTCCTGGTTGGTAGCAACGCACTTCACTTCTCCGCTGTCGTCAGCCGACGTGAAGTTGAGACCGAACTTGAAATATTTAGTTGTTCCACAACTAGTCATAGAAGTGTTTGTCGGATATTGAATAATTCTGTCGCTCAGGAATGGTTCGAACGTCGATTGTCCTTTCATCTTGTAAACAACTGTCAAATTCCCTGGAGGAAAACCAACTTCTGCCAGACACTGGTGTTCAAAACCACCCCTATGGAACATTAGATCTTGAATCTGATCCGGATTTAACGTCAGTGTTGGAGTCCCGGGGTTTCCTAAAAAAGCATGATCTATACAGACAAAAAATTAACACGGCAAGTAAAGTTGATGATTGCCAATATTTTCAGGTCTTACGGCCATCTTCAGGCGGTATTTATTAAAAGAAAACGAAAACATTAGAAATGAATCCCCCCTCCCCTGTTAATATTTCTATCTATATAAACGTTACACAAACTCTTGAACTAAAGATAAACTAAAGTGAATTTACTCGGGCAGTTCTAGTATATAATGTTGCAAATAAATGTTGCTGAAAGTTATCCGTGCTTGAAACGATAAAACCATGACCATGATCTTACCCATTGCGAGCCATTATACAATATTCATAATTTCGTCTCGTTAAAACTAGAGCTTACTGAATATTTCAAACGTCATGTTGGTGGTGAGAGGACTCGTTTGTCCAGTAGCTGTACACGTGTATACCCCACGATCCTCACAGCTCAAAGTTGAAAGTGTTATGGTAACAGACACCGACAAATCATCTTCTGTGATGGCATAAGATGCCCGAGGAGTCAGAGGTTCGCTAGGAGAGTTGCCTTTGACCAGGCTAAAGACAGATGTAATCGCTGTGGACCCTGTAGTTATCCTCGTTACCATCCTGTTTGTCCAGCCGGGCGCGTTCCGCACGTTGCATCCAATAACAATATCGGAGCTACCAAATTCCTCCCTCCTATTATAGGCGTTAAATGCAATATCTGAAAAGAAAATATTTTATCAGCTAGATATAAGTTAACGTTTGAACGTGATATTTAACGGCTTCTGTCATTTGCATAGTTATAATATTTTTCCCAAATATATTAGGTTTTGTCATTCTCAAAGCGTGATAATAATGAGCGCCCTGCAGATTCGGGAAAATAGCACGCCCACTGGATCTAACTGATAGTTACAAGCGCCGACAACTGTGAGGCCCCAAGTAGAATTGTGTATGTCTGGGTATCCTACATAGGGAACTTCGACAACTGTGAGGCCCCCAGTAGAATTGTGTATATCTGGGTATCCTTCATAGGGAACGTCGACAACTGTGAGGCCCCCAGTAAAATTGTGGATGTCTGGGTATCCTACATAGGGAACTTCGACAACTGTGAAGCCCCAAGTAGAATTGTGTATGTCTGGGTATCCTACATAGGGAACGTCGACAACTGTGAGGCCCCCAGTAGATTTTTTGATGTCTGGGTATCCTACATAGGGAACTTCGACAACTGTGAGGCCCCCAGTAGAATTGTGTATGTCTGGGTATCCTACATAGGGAACGTCGACAACTGTGAACTGATCTGCTGCCCCTATTGCAACACGTTGAATCTATGTATTTTATTTTTCCAACTATTTACCCTTTCTTTCTGTCTCTCTAGATACCCATCTTTATATGACATTGGCAGTTGCGAGAACGTTAAACCACAACGCAAAAATATGAATCATGATTGTCGACAAAAAATCTGGATTTATTTGCTTCCTATCGATACAAAGTTTCCCTGATACTAGCATGTTTATGGGAGAGAAGGATTGGATTTCATGTTATTGTTCTAGCTATGTTTATGAAGTTCATTAAGGTTCAAAATATCGCTGTGTTACGTACTTGAGATACATGCATGTTTCTGGTTTTAATTAATTCACTATCGTTATGTATTTGAAGTAGGATGAAAACAGCGTAAATTGATGATTTTCCTCTGGCTGCGATAACAGAAGTAATGGACAACAAAAAACAATGGAATGTGTTATCTTGAATGTAAATAATTTCTATAATATAATTTTTACGTTCATAAATATAAGTCTTGCATATTTACAACAATGAGAATGAAATGATACGTTAACATTGCACTTCTATTACGGTCATGTTTTCTTTCGTAAGACAAGTTATTCGACTGTAAGTAAAAATGAGTTGTGCTTACAAGTGTTTTCCATTATACTCAAGGTATTGGATAACTAGAATATACCTACCAGCTTGATGCACGATAATAAAGGCCGTAGAAGAGCTAACAGATGACCCCGCCAGTGCTGAGTTGTTCGCCACACATTTAGCCTCGGTTCCATTAAACTGTAAACTCGGAGTAAACGTGTATTGCACAGTTCGTGTTACTGTACAGTTTGACGTCACAGCCCCGTCAGTTACAGTCGGAGTGACGACATCGTATTCTGTGAACTCTGACCCTCCGGATGCCTTGGTGTACAAAGATAAACTTCCTGTTCCGATTGGTAGTTCGCCTACACACGTGATAGTACTCTCAGCTCCTTCGCTGTATGGAGTCGGGGCAGCAATTGTACTCGTAGGATTTGCTACAAAAAGTATTCAAAGAATGACATGTTTTCACGGCTTGAATTCCCAAACAGCCCCACCTTACAGATAATAAAACTCGTTATACGTAGATGTCAGTGTAAACACAATTTAAAACTATTTGCTAAAAACATTTCAAAATAATGTATCCTTGTGATACATTGACTGAAAATTTAAGCAGTATACTTTCTTATATCTCCTAACACATTATCTATTTGTTGAACTATTACCTGTAACGACAAGAACGGCTGTATCTGTGTAGTTTCCGTGTCCTGTCGATAGAGTACAGGTAAATACACCCTTGTCACTGCAGTGAGATACTTGGTTGTCCATGGTTAGGTTGAGAGAGGCACTGTTGGTAGAATATGATCCGGAAGCCCCAAAATTACTCTGTATATGTTCCACTACGGTTCCTGTAACAGGAAACGTGGCGATCGGCCCTCGAACGTCCGATGAAACAACCAACGAGGTCCAGTCGTCTGGTAGATTATTGACTGTACAAGCCATTTCTAAGTGTTGATATATTACTGCTGTAACGTCTTTTATCATAATCACTGAAACGAAAATAAATCAAACGAAGATAAAAACAGATAATAGCAATACTATTTAAAATTATTAAAAGATACAGAAATGTCTAGGTAACACAAAAATACAAAATAATCGGTGTAGGTGGCATAAGCATATTAATTAAGAAGCATTTATGATGAACAATATACAAAGTTAAAGATTTCTTATTAAGTAAGTAAATCATGTATGTTATGATAAGTTCACTCCAAATTTGAAGCGAAAACCAGTACACGTGTCTTCATTTTAACTAAAAATCAATGCGTCCAGATTTTCGATACCATTACATAATAATAATTTTAATAACCTTTTCTTAGCAAACTTTATTTAATTGTAAATTCTTCAGAATCTTTTCCTTTTGATCAAACCAGAAAATGGCAACTATAGAATACGATTTTACAATCATATCGACTCATCGGTATGATTAATATGGTTTGTTGGAAGCAATAGATGTGCTTATTGCATCTAAAATTTATTTATAAGAATATTAAAAATACTAAATCAAGAAAACCTCTCCGAAAACTTTTATCAAATAATATAGTTTAAACGCAAAGTCAACAGTAATAACTCAAACAATACATTGGACTGAACTGAAGCTTCATACTGTTCTATTACCCGCTTACCTGGAGGAATGAAGGTACTACTTGTGATGGAAGTAGTAGACGTAAAAAGAGTCGTTGTGATTGAAGGGGTGGTTATTGTGGTTGGAGTGGTAGTTGTCGATAGAGTTGTGGTTATGGTTGGAGTGGTGGTTTTGGCTGGGGAAGTTGTTTTGGTTCGAATGGTGGTCTTGGATGGAATGATTGTTGTGGTTGGAGTGGTAGTTGGGGATGGAGTGGTGGTTGGGGATGGAGTGGTGGTTGGAGTGGTTGTGGTGGTTGGAGTGGTTCTTGTGGCTGGAGTAGTGGTGGTGGATGTCGTTGGAGTAGTGGTTGTGGATGGGGTGTTGGTTGTGGTTGGAATAGTGGTTGTGGTTAGAGTGGTAGTTCTCGATGGAGTGGTAACTGTGGTTACAGTGGTAATTGTGGATGGAGTTGTGGTTATGGTTGGAGTAGTGTTTGTGGATGTAGTGGTGGTTGTGGATGTAGTGATGGTTGTCGTTGGAGTGGTTGTTATAGTTGGAAAGGTTGTTGTGGTTGAAGTGGTAATTTTGGTTGGAGTGGTGATTGTGGTGGGTATGATAAGTGTGGTTGGATAAGTAGTGGTTTGAGTGGTTGTTGTTGGAGTATTGGTTGTGGATAGAGTAGTGGTTGTGGTTGGAGTGGTGGCTGTGGATGGAGTGGTTGTTCTGATTTGAGTAGTGGTTGTGGTGGTTGTGTTTGTTGTTGATCGAGTGGTGGCTGTGATTGGAGTAGTGGTTGTGAATAGAGTGGTTATTGTTGTTGGAGTGGTTATTGTGGTTGGAGTGGTTGTTGTTGTTGGAGTGGTGGTTGTGGATGGAGTGGTGGTTGTGGTTGGAGTGGTGTTTGTGGATGGAGTGTTGGTTGTGGATGGAATGGTAGTTGTGGATAGAGTGGTAGCTGGGGATGGAGTCGAGGTTGTGGATGAAATGGTAGTTGTGGTTGGTGTTGTGGTTGTGGTTGGAGAAGTTGTTGTGGTTATTGTGGTTGTAGTGGTTGTTGTTGTTGGAGTGGTTATTGTGGTTGGAGTGGGTGTTGTTGTTGGAGTGGTTATTGTGGTTGGAGTGGTTGTTGTTGTTGGAGTGGTTATTGTGGTTGGAGTGGTTGTTGTTGGAGTATTGGTTGTGGATAGAGTAGTTGTTTTGGATGTAGTGGTGGTTGTGGTTGGAGTGGTGGTTATAGTTGGAAAGGTTGTTGTGGTTGGTATGGTAATTGTGGCTGGATAAGGAGTTGTGGGTGGGTTTGTGGGTATTGTGGGTGTTGTTGGGGTATTGGTTGTGGGTAGAGTGGTGGTTGTGGTTGGAATGGTTGTTGTTGGAGTGGTTGTTGCTGTTGGAGTGGTTGTTGTTGTTGGAGGGGGTGTTGTGGTTGGGGTAGGGGTTGTGGGTGGGTTTGTTGTTGTTGTTGGTGTGGTGGTTGTGGTTGGGTTAGTGGTTATTGTGGTTGGTGTGGTTGGGGTAGTGGTTGTGGTTGGAGTGGGGGTTGTTGTTGGAGTGGTGGTTGGTATGGTAATTGTGGTTGGATAAGTAGTTGTGGATGGATTTGTTGTTGTTGTTGGAGTGGTTGTTGTGGTTGGAGTAGTGGTTGTGGATGTAGTGGTGGTTGTGCTTGGAGTGGTGGTTGTTGTTGGAGTGGTTGGTATAGTTGGAAAGGTTGTTGTGGTTGAAGTGGTAATTTTGGTTGGAGTGGTGGTTGTGGTTGGGATGGGAATTGTGGTTGGATAAGTAGTTGTGGATGGAGGGGTTGTTGTTGTTGGAGTGGTGCTTGTGGTTGGAGTGGTGGCTGTGGATGGAGTGGTGGTTGTTGTGGTTGGAGTGGTTGTTGTTGGAGTATTGGTTGTGGATGGAGTGGTGCTTGTGGTTGGAGTGGTGACTGTGGATGTAGTGGTGGTTGTGGTTGGAGTGGTGGTTGTGGCTGTAGTGGTGGTTGTTGTTGGAGTGGTAGTTGTGGATAGAGTGGTGGTTGTGGATGGAGTACTGGTTGTGGATAGAGTGTAAGCTGGGGATGGAGTCGAGGTTGTGGATGTAATGGTAGTTGTGGTTGGTGTTGTGGTTGTGGTTGGAGAAGTTATTGTGGTTTTTGTGGTTGGAGTGTTTTTTGTTGTTGGAGTGGTGGGTGTGGTTGGGGTGGTGGGTGTGGTTGGAGTGGTGGTTGTTGTTGGAGTGGTTGGCATAGTTGGAAAGGTTGTTGTGGTTGAATTGGTAATTTTGGTTGGAGTGGTGGTTGTGGATGGAAGGGTGGTTGTGGTTGGAGGGGTGGTTGTGGTTGGTATGGAAATTGTGGTTTGAGTGGTGGTTGTAGATGGAGTGCTGGTTGTGGTTGGATTAGTGGTTATTGTGATTGGAGTGGTTGTTGTTGGAGTATTGGTTGTGGATAAAGTAATGATTGTGGATGTAGTGGTGGTTGTGGTTGGAGTAGTGGGTGTGGTTGGAGGAGTGGTTGTGGGTGGGGGGTAAGCTGGGGATGGAGTCGACGAGGGAGTGGGAACTGTGGGTACAGTGGTAATTGTGGATGGAGGTGTGGTTATGGTTGGAGGAGTGTTTGTGGATGTAGTGGTGGTTGTGGTTGGAGTAGTGGGTGTGGTTGGAGGAGTGGTTGTGGGTGGAGGAGTGGTTGTGGGTGGAGGAGTGGTTGTGGGTGGAGGAGTGGTTGTGGGTGGAGGAGTGGTTGTGGGTGGGGGGTAAGCTGGGGATGGAGTCGAGGTTGTGGGTGAAATGGTAGTTGTGGTTGGGGGTGTGGTTGTGGTTGGGGAAGTTATTGTGGTTATTGTGGTTGGAGTGGTTTTTGTGGTTGGAGTGGTGGTTGTTGTTGGAGTGGTAGTTGTGGTTGGAGTGGTGGTTGTGGATGGAGTAGTGGTTGTGGATGGAGTGTAAGCTGGGGATGGAGTCGAGGTTGTGGATGAAATGGTAGTTGTGGTTGGTGTTGTGGTTGTGGTTGGAGAAGTTATTGTGGTTATTGTGGTTGGAGTGTTTTTTGTGGTTGGAGTGGTGGTTGTGGTTGGTATGGAAATTTTGGTTGGAGTGGTGGTTGTAGATGGAGTGGCGGTTGTGGTTGGATTAGTGGTTATTGTGATTGGAGTGGTTGTTGTTGGAGTATTGGTTGTGGATAGAGTATTGGTTGTGGATAGAGTATTGATTGTGGATGGGGTGGTGCTTGTGGTTGGAGTGGTGGCTGTGGATGGAGGGGTGGTTGTTGTGGTTGGAGTGGTTGTTGTTGGAGTATTGGTTGTGGATAGAGTATTGGTTGTGGATAGAGTATTGATTGTGGATGGAGTGGTGCTTGTGGTTGGAGTGGTGTCTGTGGATGGAGTGGTGGTTGTTGTGGTTGGAGTGGTTGTTGTTGGAGTATTGGTTGTGGATAGAGTATTGGTTGTGGATAGAGTATTGATTGTGGATGGAGTGGTGCTTGTGGTTGGAGTGGTGGCTGTGGATGGAGTGGTGGTTGTTGTGGTTGGAGTGGTTGTTGTTGGATTATTGGTTGTGGATGTAGTGGTGGTTGTGTTTGGAGTGGTGGTCGTGGATGGAGTGGTGGTTGTGGATGGAAGGGTGGTTGTGGTTGGAGTGGTGGTTATAGTTGGAAAGGTTGTTTTGGTTGGTATGGTAATTGTGGTTGGATAAGTAGTTGTGAATGGAGTGGTTGTTGTTGTTGTTGGAGTGGTGGTTGTGGTTGGAGTAGTGGTTGTGGCTGGAGTGGTGGTTGTGGATGGAGTAGAGGTTGTGGATGAAGTGATTGTTGTAGTAGTTGTGGTTGGAGTAGTGGATTTGGTTGGAGCATCGGTTGTGGATCGAGTGGTGGTTGTGGATGGAATGGTGGTTGTGGATGGAGTAGTAATTGTGGTTAGAGTGGTGGTTGTGGTTGGAATAGTGGTTGTGGATTGAGTTGTGGTTGTGGTTGGATTGGTGTTTGTGGATGGAGTGTTGGTTGTGTATGGAATGGTAGTTGTGGATGAAGTGGTAGCTGAGGATGGAGTCGAGGTTGTGGATGAAATGGTAGTTGTGGTTGGTGTTGTGGTTGTGGTTGGAGTAGTTGCTGTGGTTATTGTGGTTTGAGTGGTGGTTGTGGTTGGGATGAATATTGTGGTTGGAGTGGTGGTCGTGGATGGAGTGGTTGTTGTGGATGGAGTGTTGGTTGTGGATGGAGTGGTGGTTGTGGATGGAGTGGTGTTTGTGGTTGGAGTGGTGGTTATAGTTGGAAAGGTTGTTTTGGTTGGTATGGTAGTTGTGGTTGGATAAATAGTTGTGGATGGAGTGGTTGTTGTTTTTTTATTGGTGGTTGTGGTTGGAGTAGTTGTTGTGGTTGGAATGGTGGTTGTGATTGGTATGGAAATTGTGGTTGGAGTGGTGGTTGTGGTTGAATTAGTGGTTGATGATGGAGTGGTCGTTGTGGTTGTAGTGTTGGATGTGGTTGGAATAATAGATGAGGTAGTGGATCGAGTGGTGGTTGTGATCGGAGTGGTGTTTGTGGTTGGTGTGGTTATTGTCGTTTGAGTGGTGGTTGTGGCTGGAGAGGTGGTTTTGGTTGGGTTGGTGGTTGCTGATGGAGAAGTTATTGTGGTAAAAGTGGAGGCTGTGGCTGGAGTAATGGTTGTAGATTGAATGGTTGTTGTGGTTGGAGTGGTGGTTGTGAATGGAGTGGTGGTTGTGGTTGGAGAAGTTGTTGTGGTTGTTGTGGTTATTGTAGTAGGAGTGGTAATTGTGGTTGGAGTTGTGGTTGTGGACGCAGTGGTGGTTTTGGATGGTGTAGGAGTTGAGGTAGTGGAACGAGTGTTGGTTGTGGATGGAGTGGTGGTGGTTGTGGTTGTATTGGTGGTTGTGGATGGAGTAGTGGTTGTATATGGAGTGTTGGTTGTGGATGGAGTAGTGGTTGTAGATGGAGTGTTGGTTGTAGATGGAGTGGTGGTTGTGAAAGGAGTGGTGGTTGTGATTGGAGAAGTTGTTGTGGTTGTTGTGGTTATTGTGGTTGGAGTGGTGGTTGTGGATCGAGTGGTGGTTGTGGTTGGAGTAGTGTTTGTGGATGGAGTCGAGGTTGTGGATGAAATGGTAGTTGTGGTTGGTGTTGTGGTTGTGGTTGGAGAAGTTGTTGTGGTTATTGTGGTTTGATTGGTTTTTGCGGTTGGAGTTGTGTTTGTGGTTGGAGTAGTGGTTGTGGTTGGATTAGTGGTTGTTGTGGTTGGAGAGGTTGTTGTTGGAGTATTGGTTGTAGATGGAGTGGTGGTTTTGCTTGGAGTGGTGGCTGTGGTTGGAGTGGTGGTTATAGTTGGAAAGGTTGTTTTGGCTGATATAGTAATTGTGGTTGGATAAGTAGTTGTGGATGGAGTGGTTGTTGTTGTTTGAGTGGTTGTTGTTGTTTGAGTGGTGGTTGTGGTTGGAGTAGTCGTTGTGGCTAGAGTTGTGGTTGTTGTTGTAATTGTGGTTGGGGTTGGTATGGAAATTGTGGTTGGAGTGGTGGTTGGGGATGGAGTGTTGGTTGTGGATGGAGTGGTGGTTGTGGATGGAGTGATTGTTGTGGTTGGTATGAAAATTGTGGTTGGAGTGGTGGTTGTGGTTGAATTAGTGGTTGTGGATCGAGTGGTGGTTGCGGTAGGAGTGGTGGTTGTGGTTGGTGTGGTTATTGTCGTTTGAGTGGTGGTTGTGGCTGGAGAGGTGGTTTCAGTTGGAGCGGTGGTTGTGGATGGGGAAGTAATTGTTGTTAAAGTGGAGGTTGTGGCTGGAGTAATGGTTGTAGATGGAGTGGTGGTTGTGATTGGAGTGGTGATTGTGGATGGAGTGGTGGTTGTGGATGGAGTGGTGGTTGTGAATCGAATGGTAATTGTGGTTAGAGTAGTGGGTTTGTTTGGATTGGTGGCTGTGGTTGGAGAGGCTGTTATGGTTGGAGTTGTAATTGTGGTTGGAGTGTTGGTTGTAGATTGAGTGGTGGCTTTGGATGGAGTGGTGGTTGTGGATGGAGGGGTGGTTGTGGATGGAGTTGTGGTTGTGGATGGAGTGGAAGTTGTGGTTTGAGTGGTGGTTGTGTTTGGAGTTGTGGTTGTGGTTGTGGTTGGAAATGTTGTTGTGGTTGAAGTGTTAATTATGGTTGGAGTGGTACTTGTGGTTTGCGTGGTGGTTGTGGTTGGAGTGGTGGTTGTTGTTGGAAATGTTATTGTGTTTGGAGTGGTGGTTGTGGATTGAGTGGTTGGAGTGGTTGTTGTGGATGGAGTGGTTGTTGTTATTGGAATGGTGGTTGTGGATGGAGTGGTAGTTGTGGTTGGAGTAGTTGTTGTGGATAGAGTGGTTGTTGTGGTGGTTGTAGTTGGTGTGGTAATTGTGGATGGAGTGGTAGTTGTTGATGGAGTGGCGGTTGTGGTTGGAATGGTTATTTTGGTTGAAGAGGTGGTGGTGGTTAGAGAGGTAATTTTGGATGGAGTGGTGGTTGTGGATTGAGTTGTTGTTGAGGCTGGAGTTGTGGTTGTTGATGGAGTGGTGGTTGTGATTAGAGTGGTGTTTTTGGATTGAGTGGTAGTTTTTGATGAATTGGTGGTTGTTGTTGTAGGAGTTGTTGTTGTTGTTGGAGGAGTTTTTGTTGTTTTAGCTTTGGTTGAATAGGTGGTTGTTGTTGAAATTGATTTCGAAGTTGGCCCAGGAGTGGTAGTTGTTGAAAAAGTTGTTCCTGTTGTTGTTATTGTTGTAGTTGCCACAATTGGTGTGTAAGTCACTACAATGACAGTGTCAACTATAAAGGCAAGGCAACCTTCATTAACGACGCCAGTTGGTGTGCACAGCACTACGAACAGAGTTTGTGTAAATGTTGCTTCTGTTATACCCGTCACGTCGCCAGTCACTGTTATCACAAATATGACGATGATGCTTCCTGCGCTACGAATATATAACAAATACAAAATATTCAGTATAGAAGCTGATATGCGATCATCTGGAAAAAAAATCCATGAAATATAAATGAAAATATATATTCTATTTTAATTGTGGGTGGCTTTAATTTTGACACATAACACATGTATCTTATTCCAACTATTAACAAATCCTCAGAAGAACTTAGTATGTTAAATTTATCAGAATTTGTTTTAATGCAGATGAAATGTTCAGTTACGTGAACTGCTTATTTTAGTCACCTGAAACTTTCCACTCTGCATGCAGGGGACATATCTCGGACTTCGCTTTGGTTGCTTTTGTAAATGTTTTCCATCTACAAGTTTGAAACGTACAGAATATATGCCTAGTTAGCTTGCAGTGTAAATATGATTGGCGTAATTTTACATGGTTAAAGGAGAATGTGTATAACACTAGATATGCCACAAATATATGTACATGTAGATAACACATCTCATAATGCACGTGTTCATTATGTGAACGGATACATTTCACTGGGGCCTAGGGGCCTAAAACTTTATTAATTAGCTTTATGATGTTTTGAAAGGAGAACACTAACAAAAGACAGTGCATATAATCCTGAACAATGTTATGAATAAAAATAGAGGGACATTTTCACATTTGGTTTTGATTCAAGGTTGATTCTATGTATATAAAAAAAGAAATTAATCATTCGTACAATGTTGCCTCCATCATACTAACGGGTGATTGACACCACAAGACAAACGTGTTCTTGAAGTATTTTAGTTCCGTGTTACTGACGCTAATTTTTTCGCGCTTTCGGTGTTCGATTTAACATGGTACTGTTCCAGTGTACAAAGTGGACATTAACATTGAATAACACGAGGGAATCAAAAGAGGAACCCCCAATGACTTAATTTATTAAGAAGAAAGAACCGTTAACTGACCCTAATGACTTATACATTATGATATCTCACCCAATTAAATCCATCAGATACCACATAATTCTTAAATATAAATGAATTATGCATACAGGTTTTTTCTTTCACGTGGATGTTATCATCAACTATTTAATTATGTATTCCCGTTTCTTTTCCACATACAGTTTTAATGTAACTTATTGTTAATAGAAACCAATTCAACAGTTATCTAAAACTGACATGTAAACCATAAGTATGGGTTGATACTTTTAACACTTCAACGTTCCTTTGTTATAAGTGTTGTCTATCGAAATTGAGCTCATAATTGTACAAGGTAATGTGCTTATCAACACATTTTAATTCATTCAGTCAGAAAATATAACCGGTGCTACTGTCAGGCTATACTGGCCTATATATAACCGTTTATATAATAAGTAATAAAATATAACTAGTGTCGCCCAAGGCTATACTGGTTTGGGTACAAAAATAATTAGTAACAAAATATAACTAGTGTCGCCCAAGGATATACTTCTTTGAGTACAACAATGTAAATAATTAGTAAGAAAATATAACTAGTGTCGCCCAAGGCTATTCTGGTTTTGGTAAAACAATGTAAATAATTAGTAACAAAATATAACTAGTGTCGTCCAAGGCTATTCTGGTTTGGGTAAAACAATGTAAATAATTAGTAACAAAATATAACTAGTGTCGTCCAAGGCTATACTTATTTCGGTACAACAATGTATATAATTAATAACAAAATATAATTAGTGTCGCCCAAGGCTATACTGGTTTGGGTACAACAGTTTATATAATAAGTAACAAAAACATGACCGGCTTGGCGCGAGGCAATACTTGGGTAGGTATAACAGTTTATATAATAAGTAACAAAAACATGACTGGCTTGGCGCGAGGCAATACTAGGGTAGGTATAACAGTTTATATAATAAGTAAAAAAATATTACCAATGTCGTGCCAGACTATACTGCTGTGGATACAAAAGTTTCTATTATAAGTTACCAATCCATCCAGTGTAGCGCAAAGTTTAACTAGGTATAAATAGCAGAGTACAATAAAAATGGGCTGATCCTTAAAATAAAGGGCATGTCTCAGATAAACATTGATAGTGGATTCATCCTGCACAACACATCTACATATGCATGTATATATGTTTGTGTATAAACTACATTTTGAATATATTGAATACATTATTTTTACCCAAGGTTTGACCTCCGCAGATAGTATTTTGTTTCTGAAAACATATTTTGAATTTAATATTTCCTACTCAGAAACAAAAATAGCATAGATCATTCCTGGGGATTTTTCACAATATTTACAAATAAGTACAAATAAGACTACATGGAAAGTTATCTTTTTTTGTGAAGACCAAAATGGCCAAAAGTATAGTCTCAAACCAAAGTCAATATTTTTTTCTAAAAAAAAGTATGAAGCCCACATTGTCCACTTTATCATGTATATGGCAATTTAAGTGCTGATTATTTTTATTGATTTTTATACATAAAATATTACAAGGATTTATTGTACAAAAATATCAACCATGGCCACCGTACGCTACTGTAAACTACTTTCATAACACTTCAGTAGTCAAACGTTGAAATTGAAATTTAGCGCCAAATAATTCAGTTACACCTAGCAATTTGATTTGAAACAAGACATACTTATACAAATTTACAGCGAGTCTTTAATCTTTAAGATATAAGTTATAATTTGTCAAGTTGATTTTGTACATATGTTACACAAAGTCTATATTCGGTTGAGGAATAGTGCTTTGTGTCTTTTCCGTCAATTATACGTTCGTTAGACATTGAATACAAAAAAGAATATTCCAATTACCGAGTCGTATGGTCACTCTGCAGCAAAACATATCAAATTATATACAAATGTGTTGTGATATATTGACTAGTATATATATGTGGCTTTCAGGGACAAATTGGGTGTTGAGGTAACAAATTCGATTTTTTTTAAATAATGCAAGTTTTATATCAACTATTTTAATGTACAGCTATATTACCAAAGAACAGAAAACAATATAATTTTGATCTGATTGTCAATGTCATGTTCAGCAATAAAAAAATATGGAGATGTATTTTTAAAATCTTACCGATGCACAGACATCTGTCTCTAGGGCCTTAAATTCAACTGAATCCTTTTGCTGCAGTCCGGCAGTAAATGTTTCATTCAAAGTGATCTGGAGCTTTGCTTCACCTGGTAAAAATATGAACAAACCTCTAGCATTCCGCAACATCATGATAAACTACATATATATTCTATGACAACATTTATCAAAGTGATCAATATAATCTACCCAACATAATTTTTAATTGATATCCTTTTTAATTTATAATGTCATCATTCTTTTCGAAGGATTTTCAGATAGAAATATAATTTTCATACTATCAATATATTGCAATGTCAAAATCACATCCTCTTGAATATTTCTCCACAAGTAATTATTGTTAAAGTGGATGTATGTGATTAAATACAACACAACGAATTTATAATCATTTCAATATATTTTCTACTTAAGCTTTGCAATATTTCGTAAAAAATATATTACCTGCAATTGCCCCAGCCGACGACATATTCGTTGCCGAAGTAGTTATGCTAGCTGTCGTTGTTGTTTCGGTGTCTTTTGTAGTGGACGGTGTTGTTTTGAGCGTGGTAGTTGAGATGGGTGTGGTCGTTGTTGAGGGCGTGGTCGTCGTTGTGGGATTGTTCGTTGTGGAGGTCGTGGACGTTGTTGTGGGAGTGGTCGTTGTGAAGGACGTGGTTATCGTTGTGGGAGTGGTCGTTGTGGAAGGCGTGGTCGTCGTTGTGGGTACGGTTGTCGTGGAGGGCGTGGTCGCCGTTGTGGGATTGGTCGTTGTGGAGGTCGTGGACGTTGTTGTGGGAGTGGTCGTTGTGAAGGACGTGGTTATCGTTGTGGGAGTGGTCGTTGTGGAAGGCGTGGTCGTCGTTGTGGGTACGGTTGTCGTGGAGGGCGTGGTCGCCGTTGTGGGATTGGTCGTTGTGGAGGTCGTGGACGTTGTTGTGGGAGTGGTCGTTGTGAAGGACGTGGTTATCGTTGTGGGAGTGGTCGTTGTGGAAGGCGTGGTCGTCGTTGTGGGTACGGTTGTCGTGGAGGGCGTGGTCGCCGTTGTGGGATTGGTCGTTGTGGAGGTCGTGGACGTTGTTGTGGGAGTGGTCGTTGTGAAGGACGTGGTTATCGTTGTGGGAGTGGTCGTTGTGGAAGGCGTGGTCGTCGTTGTGGGTACGGTTGTCGTGGAGGGCGTGGTCGCCGTTGTGGGATTGGTCGTTGTGGAGGTCGTGGACGTTGTTGTGGGAGTGGTCGTTGTGAAGGACGTGGTTATCGTTGTGGGAGTGGTCGTTGTGGAAGGCGTGGTCGTCGTTGTGGGTACGGTTGTCGTGGAGGGCGTGGTCGCCGTTGTGGGATTGGTCGTTGCGGAGGGCGTGGTTGTCGTTGTTGGAATGGTCGTCGTGGTGGACGTGGTGGATATTTTGGGTGTGGTAGTTGTGGTAGGTGTGGATGTTGTGTTGGACATGGTCGTTATGGAGGGCGTAGTCGTTGTGACGGGAATGGTCGTTGAGTTGGGCATTGTAGTTGTTGTTTGCTCTGTTTTCGTGGTTTGCGTTATTGTTGAGGTGGGCATTGTTGTTATGGTCTGTGTTGTCTTTGTGGTGGGTGTGGTTGTTGTGGTGGGAATGCTTGGCGTAGAAGTTGTTGCTTGCTCTGTTGTCGTGGTTTGCGCTATCGTTGAGGTGGGCATTGTAGTTGTGGTCTGCTCGGTTATCGTGGTTCGTTGGGAAATTGTAGTGGACGTGGTCATTGTGTTTGGCGTGGAAGTTTTTGTTGGCTCGGTCGTTTTGGTTTTAGTGGTTGGCATGGTAGTTGCTGTTGTTTGGTCGCTTGTTGTGGTTTGAATGCTTGTTGTGGGTTGCGTTGTAGTTGTGATGGGTGTGGTCGACGTTGTGGGATTGGTTGATGTGGTCGGAACGGTCGTTGTACTAGGCGGGGTCGTGTCTGGCGAAGTAGTAATAGTTAGCTCGGTCGTTGTTGTTAGAAGGGAAGTTGTGATGGTTGGTGTTGTTGTTCGCGTGGTTGTTGTATCGGGCGTGGTTTTTATTGTCGTTGTGGTTGTTGTGGAGGGCGTGGTAGTTGTTGTTGTGGTGGGGTCAGTCGTTGTGATCGGAGTGGTTGTTGTGGTGGGCGTGACCGTTGTGGTTGGCGGGGTTGTCGTTGATGTGGCTGTAACTTGTTTATAGTCCAACACTATGATGCTGTCTACTTCAATTGTGAGGTTGCCACGCGTTACAACTCCAGTGTCAGCTCCCAGAGCTGCATAAATGATCAGCTTAAACGTATCAGTAGATATGCCTGTCACGTCTCCAGTCACCGTTATCAAAAACACCACGATTATACTCCCATTTCTACATAAAATATGGAAACTAAACATTAATTACTAATAAAAGCATGTTATTTAATTGCAATATGCAAATATGGATCCCTCTTCTGTAATTTTTTTTTTTCATTTCCTCTAATAGGAAATCTGTTCCTTACCATAAAAAATCTGGTATAGAGTAAGTCATAATGTATATGATGTGGTACACTTACATGTAGTGGTGATAATGTGATATACGTGCAACAAACAAGCCGATGATTTGTTAAGATGTATACATTTTGTCGTAATAAAGACAATATAACAGTAATGTACACTTATGAACCAATTATTTTTAAATTAAGTATTATTAAATTAAAAATTGTCACGAATCAATTTATATCACATCCACATTGCAAGTCCGATTTTTCAAAAATACATTTATTATTAAAACAAAATACAGATCGGTTACTAGGTGCAATTTTATACACAATCAGTTGGAACTTTTGCTCCAGGTTAAACTAAATATAAGTATGTGCATGTTAATTTAGATTTAACGTAAATACCATTGCATATTAATTTACCTGAGTTCCTTTACTTCACAGACAGGTTTCATATCCTTAACTGAACTTTTGCCGCTTTTGTATATATCAACCATCTACAAAAAATGATAAGTCATGAAATATTATTGCGTGAAGAAATGATAAAATTTATTCAGATTTAGAGTGTTTATGTATGTGGCACCCTGTTAGATTTATTAATTTATTTTAATTCTTTATATTCCTAAAGATTCACTAAAATATATTGAGTCCAATTAGTATTACTTTGTATAATGTTGTGTCGTTGATTTTCATCCGCAATCCGCGCTCCGCATCCGCAGTCACCTAGTCTCGTGTGTTACGTTTGTTTTGAATGGAATGTATGTGAGTGTGACGTAATTGTGAACGTGATTGTATACCTGTTTGACCAGTGACAAACTGACCTCTGACACCTGTCGCATTGCGTGATATTTCCCGCGTTTATGTTTTATTTGCTTCTCTGTCCTTTCTTTTCTATTCACTTCCTATATGCTCCTGGTAGAGGCAACATCGCCATATAGAGATACTTACAGAATATGCATACCTTGCATATTATACTAGTGGATTCCCGGAACCACATACAGGGTAAGCTATGGGTCAATTAAAATATATAAGCTATTGCTAAACTTAATATTTATGCTGATAAATATTAATGCTCTATAATTTATATTTATGGAATGCTATAACTTGCCGTAAATTGCACTTATATAATTATGGGTGTGGTTATTGACTACGTGAACACTATTTTAACTATTTAACACTGATATTATACTTCGGTGTTGTTTACTGGTATCATAAGTATTATGTTAACCATATTCATTTATAGTTGTCTAGGCTACTTCTTTAAATAATTGTTTTATAAACCCTACATCTTTTAAAAAGTATCGTACGTTACAACGTGAATTGTCCATATGTAAATGTATTGTTAGGCGAGATCGTTTCTGTATATTGTCTCATGTGTGTTTTAATATTGGTACAGGGAAATAAATACCCACTGAATCAAAGGCATATGGCATATGAAACCTGGACTTCCTTGACGTATTGTTATACAAATATACCTCAAAATTACATGAAGTATTAAAAACCGTTGAGTCGTTAGAAAGACGAGAAAGCTTTCCAAAGATAAATGTACATAGTCCGCACAAGCTGAACTCTACATTTACCTTGACTTATAAAGAAAATACTCTAACAGTGTTGCGCTCTTCCAGCAACATAGCGATTTATAATTTAGTAAACATCATGAAATATTCGGGAGAAAGTGTCAATTACTAATCAGGAAGGCATTCCCAATAAAGTGGCTGTAATTATAATATTAACAATGAATTACGCTGTGGCAGATGCTTTTTATGAAATAATACTCTAATTTTTTATTAGTGCTATGGATTGTTCCTAACACGTTCTTACCTCTTTACAGAAATCACCTTCAAATGCTGTTCTGTTAGGTGAATTGGTGTCTATCAGCTCAGGTGTCAGTGCGCCGTTTATCGTCAACTTTACCCTGGCCTCACCTCAATTAAATATAAACGCATTCTCTACAGCTTTGTATAATAGATATTGTAGTAACTAATGCTATCTTTCCAAGAAAGATAGACAGTATTATCGGTCATATACTGTTTGAGTTGTCATGAAGTGAAATACAATGAAAATTACATGGTCATATCTTGGTGTATAATAATGTGTCATAGCGTCATTTGTGACTTCAAAAACCAAAAAAACTTATTTAAAAAACCTTCAGATCAAATGAACAATAAACAATCATCTTGCATAAATGAAACAAATGATATGGAAGAGTGCAAATGTAATAAGTGACAAAAACGCAATATAATCCCTTAATCAATCTATGGTTTAGTTAAGACTTAAGTTTTCTCCGATGCCTTATCAAACGGATTTGGTTTAAACTGAATTCGAATAATACAAATCACATTAGCAAACACGATGAGGAAACAAGTACTGTGTACTTATATAAATCCTTCTCATCTTTCTGACAAACTAGTGGCCTTATAGATTACTAACAATTGATAATAAGGTACATGTAATGAAACGAAGAAAAGAAAAAAATGTGCTAAGGGCCATGTTACGAACGATCAATTTATTCCACGATATTGTAAGTATTTCTTTCATTATGACAGCATGTGTGAGGTTTTCACAATTTCGTTTTATAAACATATAAATACTTATATTCCTTAACCAAAACATTAAGACTGGACAATGAAGTTTGGAACTATCTCGAATATTTCTATTTTATTAATTAAATTACTTACCTCCGACAGGTTTTGCTTCTTGTGCTAAAAGACAAAGAGAGCGCAAACGTAAAAGTTAATCATGTTTGATAAACTTAATTATTCTCACTAAATGAAAAAGCGCGATACACAAAACATAACAAGAATAAATGAACAAAGAAACGTTTTTACCCCTTTCTGATTTAAATATAATGGTTTCTACGTTCTATAGTGGATTATTTGTTTATATCAAGTCATACATGATTTTCAAAGAAACTGTATTTTGGGCGCGACAAATGCCGCTAACGAAACTTCAGTTCATTTTACCTATAACGAAGAACCTGAACTTATGTTGTGTTCAGCGACGGAGTCTTAACCGTCGTGTTGGTCGCTTAGATTTTTTTTTAAATACAGCATTATTTAGGGAGTGGTCGATGTTTCAGTAACTAGGGATAATGGTCATAGAAGGACAGACCTGGAGATGATACTGTGACATAAGACATTGGAGTTTAAATACAAGTACCATAAACAATGTTACCTGGATCTTGCTTTAGAACCACCAGGACTACCGTTATGGCCACGCCCACACAAGCTAGAAGACTGAGGACGAGGAGAATCAGCGGTAATCTGTGAACATTGAAAAGTTTACGATGCTCGGTGTCTTTGTTCGCTCTTGGTTCGTAGTCTTCAAAGTGCTTGCAACCAAACGCGCTGGTGCCATGTCCAAAACTTGATCGTATTGGGACCTGTCATTAAAATTTAAAAAACCCAGTCATAATCGTAATACACACACTATCATGGTTGATTGTACCATTACAAAAAATAGTTATAGATACAGTAGGTCAAAATGAATTCGTCCTTCAAGCCATACATTTATAATTCCAAATTGTCTAACCTATAAATAGAACGATCGGAGAGGTGCATAAAAACACTTCATTTTATTAATTTTAAATTAAGACTAGTAATAAAGCATGATGTTATCAGCCAACAGCAAAGTGTGACAGCATGATCTAAGGAATTATAGGACATTTAATGATGATATAAATACAACAAATATATACATTCATGACATCCTCAGGTAATGATTATAATCAAAGTATATCTAGTTCAGTTTTCCTATATATGAACCATGGTGGTACGTAGTCATCGATGACAAAAGACATCGCAAAAATGTTAACTTAATTGTAAGCACCTCACAGGATATATAGTATATTTTCATCTCAACTCATAAACGTTAAAAGCACGGGTTTTGACTTGCATTNGTGAAATGGATGAGTGAATACATTCATAGAGAATATCAACATCCTGCTTATCAAAAACATGCACAAAATTTTAAATGAGTCAACAACGAAACACAAGTATGTTTGCGCCCTTTATTTTAAACATCAGTTACGCTATACGTTTACAAAAAATACCANGTTAAAAGCACGGGTTTTGACTTGCATTAGAGAATATTTCAGTTCTTCGCAACGACACGGTCATAAAATACACGATTAATGACCACGTACATNGTGGGCTAAATGTGGTAAAGCAGGGACCAAATTTATGAAACAGTTTGCATGCTCAAAACTTAGATTCTGTGTTCAAAGTCAAATTCTTTGTCTGGCGATAAATACTATTTTTTCTTAATATTTGGTCTATGATTTGGTTAAATAATGGAGAGACTTNGTAAAAGAAAATTTGATAAAACGTGCATGTATATTCCAATAAATATTGATTCAAGTCGTGTTTGATATGTTAAGTTATATAATTACATGTATATA